AGAGAGAAAGAGAGAAAGAGAGAAAGAGAGAAAGAGAGAGAAAGAGAGAGAGAGGATGGAGAGAGAGAGAGAGAGGTCCGTCCCACTTTCGCTTTCCATCTTGACACATGCATATCTTCATCACCTCGGAGAAGAATCATTCATGCCGTAGTTGTGGCTGCCGGACCAGACAATACAATGACACCCAGCGACGCAAGGACTTCAACTCTAGCCGGCGGGCTGAGACCGCGTGGTCAGCGTGGACCGAGATCGCGAGCATGTAGGTTGCCTCCCCTTCCCCTCTCGGTATGCTCTCCACCCAGACGGAATCGTGGCTAATTATGGGAGATGGGAAACACAGGCTCCGAGTGCAAGAGGCACAAGATCCGCTGCGACATGCGCCGCGGTGAGGATTCATGCGTACGCTGTGTACGGACAGGAATTGACTGTTTCCCCTATGATCCTACCCAGAAGTTTCTCGACGAGCAGGAGTCGTATGTCCTCTTTTCTCTCTCTCTCTCTCTCCCTCCCCCCCTCTCTCTAACTCTGTCTGTCTATCTGCCTGCCTGCCTGCCTGCCTGTCTGTATATCTCATATCTGATGTCGTAAACACCCAGAACTAACCTCCTGTGTCTTGTTCAGGTGGAAAGCGAAAGCAACATCACAGATCCGTCAACTCCAGGCAGCTGTGGGGACGCTACTTGAGCATTCGCAGATGCCCAGCCTCGACGGTTTCGACGCCGGAGAGACGCCAACAGTGCAAGCGACAGGACCGGCATCAGGACCGGAGAGACGCGGCAAGCCGGCCGCATCGACAAGCCCAGCCGACTCAGCCCTGGGCAACGTATCGGCAACGGAATCCGTCATCGCGCCCTACGATGCGTGCGACCACACCGTCCAGGAGCGCCGGGCCGACGACCCAGGACTCGTGCAGGCACCCATGAGCAATCTGTACGAGTTGACCGGCAAGGCGGGGACTCTGTGTTCAGCGACAGCAAGATGCAGCCACACTGCCCTCGACGACTCGCAGCGGCGGCGGCGACGAGGACGACAACAGCCACAGCAACAGCAACAGCAACAGCATCAGCAACAACATCGGCAACAGCATCAGCAGCAGAAACAGCAGCAGCAGCAAGATGATGGTCAGGTTCAGAAGCCTAGCCACCAGGACAGCAACGGCATGGAAGACGACCTGATATCGCGCGGGGTACTATCGCTCCAGCAGGGCGAGCGGTTCGTGGCACGTTTCGTGGACCATCATAACCCTCTGCTATGGGGTGGCGTGGTATTCCCATACACGCAGCTGGATGAGGTCCGACGGGCATCCGTTCTCCTCTCAACGTGCATCTTCACCATCGCGGCGCTCCACTCCCCCGGAAACGAAGCGGCCGACGACGGCGGCGAGGGCGGAAACGACGACGGCGACGACGACCAAGACAAGGATATCCTGCAGCAGTGCTACGACAGCTTCGTGGCGACGGCGCGCAGCTCGAGCCTGTCGCGCGGCCACAACAACCTGGACGACGTGCGGGCGCTGTGCCTGGCGGCATTCTACCTGCCCAACCTGAGCTGGCGGCTGTCGGGCCAGGCGGTGCGGCTCGCGGCGGAGATGAACATGCACCAGTCGTTCCGGCGGCTGATGCGCGGGGACGCGGGCGAGGCGGAGCGGGTGCGGCTGTGGTACTCGCTGTTCGTCTGCGACCGGCACTTCAGCATAGCGTACGGGCGGCCGTCGGCGATGGGGGACGACGCGGCCATACGCGGCGTGGAGCAGTTCATCGGGCGGCCGACGGCGGTGCCGGGCGACGTGCGCATCTCGGCGCAGGTCGCGCTCTTCCGGATCCTGGGCGAGGCCTTTGCCGAGTACGGGACGGACCAGGCCGACCGGCTGACGGGGCGGGACCTCGACCGGCTGCGCATGTACAACGTCGAGGTCGAGCGGTGGCGGCTGCTGTGGCAGCCCCGGTCGCACGACGTCGACGGCATAGGCGCCTACCCGTCCCAGGGCGTGGTCATGTACTACCACTTCTCGCGCTTCCAGCTCAACTCCCTGGCCCTCCGGGGGGTCCGGTGGCCGAGCAACGAGCGGCTCTGCCTCGGCCGGCGCGAGGCCGCCATGGCCGCCATCTCGGCCGCCATGAGCACCCTCGTCCACGTCCTGGACGAGGCCGACATCCGCCGCTCCCTCTCGGGCGTGCCCCTCTTCGCCCACACCATGGTCGCCTTCTGCGCCACCTTCCTCCTCAAGATCGCCGCCCTATGGGCCCGCGGCGGCGACAGCCTCTCCCAGGCCCTCGGGCTCGGCTTCAACCCGGACGAGATCGTCTCGCTCACCCGCCGGTCGGCCGACATGCTCTCGGACCTGGCCAGCCGCGTCAGCGACAGGCACATCACCCGCCCCATCGTCTCCGGCATCCGCGAGATGCTCCAGCGTCTCACGTCGGCCGACGACGTGGCTGCCGGCCCTGCCGTCGCCCCTCCCGGCCCCGCCGGCCCCGCGACTCGTCACGACTTTGCCTCGCCGCCCTATCCGGCTCTACAGCAGCAGCAGCAGCAGCAGCACCATCATCAGCAGCAGCAGCAGCACCAGGGCGACAGCGGTATCCTTGCTGCTGCTGATTTCGCCACGGTCCAGATGGACGGCGACGACTCCGACGGGCTCGTCTACAATACCGATCTGCGCAGCCTGGCCGGTCTGCTCGAGTACGGGTCAGATCAGTTCCTCGATCCGTTTGTGACTGGAAATGACTTTGGTGGTGCGTGGCCGTGATGAGATGCAGCCTCGATATCGACGCTGCCGCTAGTGACGATGGCTACGAGCGTCCACGCCTCATATATGTGAGGGTGTGTGAGAGGAAGCGCACAGCATCCGATGGCACGATTGGTGGATAGGACGGCTTACTATGATCTACAGATCTGTCATCTGTACAGTACATCACCACTCCGTACATGTATACTAGGCATATCACATCCCTTCTTCATCCCCCCCGCATGCTGTCCGTGCCATCTGCACCCGCCGTACATGGCGACGCCGCCTCTGACACGGTTGTCGTCGCATCTCAAGAGTCCATGAAGGGACCAGGCGCTGAGACCATGGAGACGATCGGATATCAGCTATCCATCACTTCTGGTGGTGCTCCCGACCTTTTTACGGAGAGAGAAGAGCGGGAGTGAAGAGAAACCCAACCTCAACCCCCCCCCCCCCCCCCCCCCCCCCCCCCCCAAAAAAAAAAAAGTAGGATAGGAATCATCGATAAAAATACAGTGATGATAGAGACAGAGAAGAGGTGATCGTGCTCGTCGCTCGAATTCCCCGATGATGATCGACGCGGATGTATCGTCACCGTCTCCGATCGAGGAAACCCAGGCGTACTACCTACTTGCTATGGCGTGATGGACGTAGCATTACGCGTACGTACTCCGTATGTACGGGTAACAATGCATGCACCGTACGTGGATGGAGGAACAGGAGCAGACACGACCTATCCAATGCCCTCTTCAGATGCCGTCTCCCAATCTTGCGTGATGACACGATTACGTTTCAGCGTCATCCAACTGCCCCCCCCCCCCTTCTTCGAATAGAGAGAGAGAGCGTCGGCCATCCCAGGAGGTGAGGCGGAATTCCACCGCACAGGTCGGAGCCGAGGTTGATTAAACGGGATTTACCCAGCTGGCAGGGATCAGAGCCGCTGTCAATCCCGCCGCATCGTCCTCCCTCACCGCACCTGCTACCAAACCCAGCACGAAGCCGGGATGACGGAGAGAGGGGATCGAGAGGGCCGTGGTGGCAACGGACAGTTCTAGGCTGCGTGGGCCCAGACAGATGAGAAGACGGCAACGGTCACGACAGCCTGAGCATCAGGGAGAGAGAGAGAGAAGAAGAAGAAGAAGAAGAAGAAGAGAGGGAGACCCACTCCGGCGCCGAGCATCGGAGGATCAACTGACTCTCGTGATTGGTGCGGCCCAATGACCCTGTTGATCGGAAGTGTATGCGTTTTTGTGTCGACCCCGGTCTTGAATCGGGGTGAGTGGTGTGGTTCCTGGCCCGTGCTGCTCTGAAGCCGTACACCTTACTCGTAATACTCTGTATATTATCCCGTATCGGCGTGAGTGCCAATCATCGCTCGGACTCGTGCTGCTCACATTCTCTCTCTCTCTCTCTCTCTCTCTCTCTTCCTGACAGCTTTCGCTTTTTTTCAGTTGATATGGGAAGACGTGCGGTCAGGGATATATATACAGATCATATATATACAGATCACACTTGCACATACGTATATATAGCTGTACAGATTTATATATATACATGTATATAATGTATACGGATTACCTGTGAGCTGTCTAGTCTCGACTGACTACTATTACAATGCTCCTTGGCAAACCTCGACTCAACCGACAGAGAGGCTCGGATACTTCAACCCAGGATCGATCAATACTCGAGAGCCAGCTCTGGCTTCCTTCTTTTTTTTTTTTAAAAAAAAAAAAAAGAAACAAAACAAAACAGATGAAGGGGTATCATCATCCGTAGTTTCCCCCCCCCCCCCCCAGTAAAAAAAACGGTTGCTTTCCCCACCTCCTTCGCTCGCCCAACGGTGACAGCCTCGGTCCAATTGGCATCTTCGACGTATTCGCAACTCGATGTAGGACTCTGGTCGACTCGGTGGAATCTTGGGTCAGCGTTCGGTGTCGACGACAACAGCGACAGCGACGACTGACGAGGATGGCAAGCTGCAGCATCCCGACGCGCATCGCATCCTGCATCCTTCCCGATGAGAGCTGCTTGTCACTCCTGACCTCTCTCTTCTCTCTCTCCCTCTCTCTTCTCCCTCTCCCTCTCTGTCTGTCTGTCTGTCTGTCCGTCTGTGTCCGTCTTCCCGTCTCTTCTCGGGTCCCACCGCCACTTCACTTGGGTTTTTCGGTCCTGGATACCGGTGCCGCCGTGTCTCGGGTACTCGACCTTTACTTGGGGCTGTAGGGAAGAAGAAGAAGAAGAGAGAGAAAAAAAAAGAAAAAAAGAAAAAAAAGAGAGAGAGAGAGAGACTTGCCCATCCTAGTCCCACCACCCCCTTCTCTTCCCCCGATGGAGAGAGACGAGGGGGAGAAGGAAAGAGTCGTCATGGTCCGGCTCGAGCTGGCTTGGCAGTCAAAAAAATGATCCAGACACACTACTCTCTCTCCGTCTCTCCATCCCTCCAACCCTCTCGGCAGTCAGATGGCAGTCAACGCAGTAGGTAATTGTTATTTTCCATCGTGGTAGTGTACGCAGTCGAGCGTAGTCTGCTCAGCAGAGTGCGACCGTATTTTATCAAGTCCGGATGCGCTGCCGGTGATCCAATTCCTAATTTCCTCTTTTTTAGCTGTTATTTGTTTTATTTGTTTTATTTGTTTTACTTGTTTTTTTTTTTTTTTAATTCCCATTGCCCGACAGACGGACAGAGCCTTTCTTGTTTTTTTCCCCTCGAAATCCCCACTCCCCCCCGGGTTCGGCTTCCTCGTTTCTTCTTCTTCTTCTTCTGCTTCTGCTTCTTCCTCTGCTTCTGCTTCTGCTTCTGCTTCTGCTTCTTCTTCTTACTTGACCTTTCCCGTCTTTCTCCTCTGATATAAATAAAGGGTCGTCACCCCTACTACTTCTACTTCTGACTCTTGCCTCTGCTTCTTCTTCGTCTTCTTCTTCGTCTTCTTCTTCTGCTGCTGCTGCTGCTGCTGCTCTCCCTGATAGACACGCAGCTTTGGGTTGTCGTTCATGTCCCCCTAATTACTCTTTTAGATCCAAATCTTTCCATCACTCTCGCCCGTTTGCTGGCCTTGGAAGTTCTCTGGCTCTTTTCCTTCCTTCTTCCTTCTTCTTTGGTTCTTCCCCGTCTTTGTGTGTTGAAATGATCAGACGCTTCTGTCGATTCCCTGCTTCTCCGAGCAACAAGAACACGTTAGACAGATTCTGAGTTGACTGCTTGTCATCTGATTACTTCCACCCTTCCACTCATCACTTGCCCCCCTTCCCCTCTGTGAGCAATTGTCGAGAGCAGAGTTGTCCGGAGAGGAGGAGAAGAAACCCTCCCCCCCCCCATCTTCACACACACACTCTCTCTCTCTTCTTCCCTTCCTGCAACGACCTCGCAGCGGATCGCAAGAGCCCCCCTCCCTGCCCGCCATGGAACGGGATCTGGAAAAGGCTCATGGTGAGGCTCGCTCGGCAGCGGCATCCTCGTCGGGCACGTCGAGATCGTCCACCGCCTCGGATCCTTCCGTCGTGCTGCACCCCATCCGTACCGATCCGAGTCGGCGCAGCCGCGTCTCCGCGACGGATGCCCGCATCGACGGCACCGACCCGTACGAGAACCTCGAGCAGGCCCTCTCACGCGACACCCGCACCGACGGCGGCCGTGACGGCGGCGAACCCGACGACGGCATCGAGCCTGTACGCACCGCCGCCAGCGCCGCCACCCTCCGTCATCCCGACTTCGAGGTCGTCTTCCAGGACGGCGACCCGGAGAACCCCCGCAACTGGTCTCTCGGGTACCGCGTCTGGATACTCGTCGCCATCGCCTATACCTCGTGGGTCGCCGTCCTGTACAGCACCAGCTATACCTCGTCCGCCCCGGGCCTCATGGCCGAGTTCGGCACCTCCCAGACCGTCACCACCCTCGGCATGACCACCTACCTGCTCGGTCTGGCCACCGGCTGTCTGGTCCTGGCTCCCATGAGTGAGCTGTTCGGCCGCCGGATCGTCTACCTCGTCTGCCTCGCTGCCTGGCTGCTCCTCGTCATCCCCGGCGCCGTTGCCCAGAACTTTGTCACCATCCTCGTCACCCGATACTTCTGGTACGTTCCATCCGTAGGCCGGCACTCCTCCGAGAGGCCCTGCCTCGACCTTCGCCGCCGGAGGCCCATCATCTTGTGTCGTGACGTCTTCTGACATGCCCCCCCCCCCCCAAACAGCGCCTTCTTCGGCTCCGTCATGCTCGCCAACGGTCCTGGCTCCGTCGTCGACCTCTCCCATCCCGACTACCTCGCCTTCACCCTGTCCATGTGGAGCATCGCTCCCATGAACGCCCCCAGCACCGGCGGCATCATCGGCGGCTTCGTCTACCAGTACCTCGGCTGGAGGTGGTCCGCCTGGATCATCCTCATCAGCGGTGCCGTCGCTTTCGGCACCATGCTCACCTGCAAGGAGACGTACGCGCCCACCATCCTCAGGCGCAAGGCTGCCAGGCTTCGCCACGAGACTGGCGACTCGCGATGGTGGTGCCAGTACGACCAGAGGGTATCGACCTGGAACCTTCTCAAGACGAACCTGAGCCGTCCCTTGGTCCTCGCCATCAAGGAACCCATCCTGTGGTTCCTAAACATCTGGTGAGTGCCACGAGCAGACCCCCCGCTCCACGCGCGCAGGCTACAGGCTGACCCATGGCAAAAAGGATGTCCCTGGTCTATGGCGTTCTCTACCTCTGTTTTGTCGCCTACCCCATCGTCTTTTCCCAGCATCGCGGCTGGTCCCCGGGCATCTCCGGGCTTGCCTTTGTCGGTATCGGCGTCGGCACCCTGCTCGCCATCTTCTCGGAGCCCCTCTGCCGCCGTCTCATCAACGGCCAGCCGAGGGATCCCCTGACGGGCAAGCCTCCGCCAGAGGCCCAGGCTCTGGTCTTAGCCATCGGCTCCATCCTCACCCCTGTCGGCCAGCTCGTCTTCTCTTGGACGTGCCTTCCCACCAGCATCCACTGGGCCATCCCCATCGCCTTCGGCGTGCCCTTCTCCCTCGGCAACACCCTCATCTTCATCTACGGCTCCAACTACCTTGCCGGCGCATACGGCATATACGCAGCCAGCGCCCTGTCGAGCAACGCCGTCATGAGGAGCATCTTCGGTGCGACCCTCCCCCTGGCAGGACCCAAGATGTACGAGGCCCTCACGCCGCAGTGGGCCGGCACGTTGCTGGGCCTGGTCGAAGTCACCATGATCCCCATCCCCTTTGTCTTCTGGCGGTACGGTGCCAAGATCAGGGGCAGGAGCAGCACCATCTGCCAGCTGCGCGAAGAGCAGGAGAAGATAAACTCCAAGCGTGCACGCCATCAGGCTAAACTGGTGCGCGAGGCTGAGCAGAACCTATCGCAGCCTTGTTCGGACGCAGAGGAGGGACCCGCTGCCAATCTCAGCACCATGGCAGATAAGAGAGAGTCATCCTAGGGGGGGAGGGAGAGAGAGAATGAGAGAGAGAACGAGCAATCGCGAGGAGATATCGAAAGCAAACATTTTGAATAGGCGAATGCGCACAAGAGTCTTGGCTGGAATATTAATGACGGGGAGGGTTAGGTATATTCCGAGGGAGGTGATTTATGAAGCAAATAGGCATATACGTAAAACTTCCGGGGCATCCGCAGATGTAATAATATAGCATTCTCTCGATCGAAAGCTTCGACGGTCAGTGGCCGCGTAGGGAATAGGGTCGACTCAGGATGACTCGCTCGCCTTTCTAAGCAATTCGACGACGGCCCGAGCATACTCATCACCGTCGCCGGGAACGTCTGCGACGACGACCGTCTTATCCCTCGACTTGAGCCCGCGGGTCAGATGGAGCCTCGACCGGGGCACACCCAAGACGCCGCTCAGGACCTGGATGACGGCCCTGTTGGACTCTCCTTCGCGGGGCTGGGCCGCCACGCAGACATCGATGGCGCTATCTGTGACGCGGTCGATTCCCTCGCGGGCCTTGCTGACTCCCGGCTTGACGCGCAGGCAGAGCTGGAGAGAGCCCAGCGGGGACTTCTTGGATGCTGCGACGAAGCGGACGGCGCTGGAGGCCAGCGGGGGAGCTGCCCCTGACATCGCAGACATCGTCGACCCGGTCAGGGGAGTGGTCGGAGATGCAGATGCCACGCTAGGCTGTCGGCAGCTTGTACGATGATGGCCAGGGACCTCGGAAGATGGATGTGCTGATGTTTCTTCCTCTCGAGACTGATGATGTTATGAGTTCCTGTCCACGGGTAGATGACTATTATGCATGGCATCTGATAAAGGGAAGGTGCAGCGTGGGGCTTAGTTACCTTACCCCAGAGGTAAAAAAAAAAATTGGAAATAAATAATAAATAAATAATTGGTAATAAATAGATAAAAATAAGAGCTGATGACAGGTTCCGCACCCTTCTCTGTCCGCCGGATGAGACCAACTCCATAACATCATTCACGCCCAGTAGCTCAGAACTTCCCGATACCGCATCCGACCGAAGCTCCGTCGACTATTCTCCCATCCCACGACCGACAGCGTCTCCCCGCGCATGCAGCGTGTCTGCTCCCGACACCCGCGATTCCCGACAGGCGCCATGACTTCTGCCTTCAGTGTGCTCCACGGCGCTCCGAGCAACACCGGCCAGCACACGACGACAGGCAGTGGCTCGCTCGACTTCACACTGACAGCTCTCAGCCGCTGGTCGATCCTCAGCAAGCAGCTGCCCGCCGTCGACAAGATCAAGGCGCTGCACGTGTACGACTTTGACAATACGTGTACGCAGCGCGCATCGCAGGTCTTGCTACCCTGATGATTTTCCTCCGGCTGGCTGACGTTCTACTACCATCTGCAGTATTCAAGACACCGACACCGAACCCGTCGCTGTGGCAGGGCCACACGATAGGATTGCTGGCTAACCAGGATGTGTTCGTCAACGGGGGGTGGTGGCACGACAGCCGGATCCTGGCGGCGACGGGCGGAGGGGTCGACAAGGAGGAGCCCCGCGCGTGGGAAGGGTGGTGGAACGAGAAGGTTGTCGAGCTCGTCCGGCTGAGCATGCAGCAGCCGGATGCTCTGACGGTGATACTGACGGGTCGTGGCGAGAAGAACTTTTCCGACCTGGTGCGTCGCATCGTGGCCAGCAAGAAGCTGGACGTCGACATGATCGCGCTCAAGCCGGCCGTCAGCCCGACCAACCAGCGATTCCAGAGCACGATGCACTTCAAGCAGCTCTTCCTAAACGCCCTCATGGAGACGTACCGTGACGCCGACGAGATCCGCATCTACGAGGACCGACCGAAACACACAAAGGGCTTCCGCGACTTCCTGGCCGAGTACAACCGTCAGCAGACGACGTCGCCGACGCGCGGGCCCCTGTCGACGGCCGAGGTGGTGCAGGTGGCCGACACGGCGGCAACGCTGGAGCCCGTCACCGAGGTGGCCGAGGTGCAGCACATGATCAACGACCACAACCTGGTGGCGGCGCGCGACCGGACCAAGACGAAGCTGCGCATCAAGAAGACGGTCTTCTTCACCAGCTACATGATCTCCCGGCCCGACACGCAGAAGCTGATGGACCTGGCCAGGATCCCCGTCAGCTCCGACCTCATCTACCACGGCAACAACATCCTCATCTGCCCACGGCCGTGCCCGGCAGGCATCATGGACAAGGTCGGCGGCATGGGCAGCAAGATGGTGTGGGAGGTCGTCGGCACAGCCTGCTACCAGGACCGTCTGTGGGCCGCATGCCTACGGCCCGTCCCCCAAGAGACGAAATACCACACGGACAACCCCGTCCCGCTCGTCGTCCTGGCCCTCAAGAAGGGTGCCCGTCCCATCGACGCCAGCAAGATTGAGAACTGGGATCCTGTGCCCCCGCACCAGTCCTTCAAGTTCGAGACGACCGTGGGCGAGAAGATGATACTCCGCGTCGAGGGCGACGATCCCCGCGAGGACGCTTACGAGAGCCTCTTTGCCAACAAGAACTCCAAGAGGAAATACACCGGAGGCCACGGTCCCGACGCCGGCGGAGGCGGCGCCGCCGTCGGTGGCGGCGCCGCCGTCGGTGGCGGCGGTCCACCTACCCAACCCCGCGCCGACTCCTTTCCCCGCGGCAGGGGCGGTCGCGGCGGTCGCGGCAGCAGCTTCCAGGGTCGCGGTGGCGGCGGCAGGGGTCGCGGCCGTGGAGGAGGTCGTGGCGGTCGAGGCGCTGGTTTCCACGGATACAAGTCCCTAGACGATGTCGGCGGCGGCGGCGGCGGCGCTGCCGGAGGTCGCGCACGGGTCGAGTACGACGATGCGTACGCCGGAGTGCCCACCGGGCCGAGTGCCCACAAGAGGAGAGGGGGACCTCATACCGGGTCAGGGGAGCTGCACAGCTATTATTGAGGGAACATATCCCTTCCATCTCTTCTTCTTCTTCTTCTTCTCCGTCTATTCAACTTTATACATGTATGGATACTGCTATATAGTAAAGATGCAGAAAGAAACATATATGTCTGAACTAAAAGCAGTAGGGCGTCGGGGGAATAATACCAGGACATGAATATACAATATATATCGGATATATATGGGTGTTTCGATGTTGATTTTGCTTCTTTCACTCTTTCTTATGTATCTTTTTATTCTTCTCTTTTTTTAAGAAAGAAAGAAAAAGAAAAAGGATGGGAAAAAATGGGAAAAAAAGACAGAAACCTTTTATACAATCGCCATATTCTGCTGACATTCGGTAGTGAAACTCTACTCTTTCACCTTTTCCAATCATCATCATACCAAAAAAAATAAAAATAAAAGGAAACCCCTTAAAGGGGGGGGGGGATATCGAAACAAGAATGAAAAGTAAGAGAAAAAAAAGGAGAAAACCTCGTCTATGAAATCTTTTTAACCTAGTTCTACAAAACACTACTCGCTGTCATCCTCATCGCTATCATCCTCCTCCTCAGCATTCTCCAACCAGTCGACAACACACTTGCACTTATCCCTTAGTATGACCATGCCCTCACCCTCGCCAGCCCTGTCATCGGCCCACCAGGCCAGAATACCCTCCTCCTCGATGATGTCGAGGGAATATAGCTGCTGCAGGAGGGCGGCGAGCAGGGTCCCGACACGGCGCACATCCAGCTTGGCAGCCCCCTCAGCGTCCGTCTGGGCGTCTGAGAGCGAGGAGGAGGCCTGACGCAGACCACGCTGCAGGGCGAGCACGAAGTCTGCCTGGTCCGTCTCGGAGGCTCCGTCGCCCACGGCGACCTCGGACACGAACTTTGCCGCGCCGGGGCGCGCAGTCATGGTACGCTCGGCGGCCTTGGCCGGCTCGAGCCCGCCGTTCTCGGGCGTGAGCAGCTCGACGGCGTGGTGGGCAAAGGCGGACGCGATGGCGCGGCGCATCATGGTGTCCGAGGCGTTGTTGGCCAGCCGCAGACCCATGAACTCGAGCTTGGCCGAGTCGAAGTCCCCGGACGTGGCGCACAGTGCGTCGAGGAGTCCCGACACCGCGTCGTGGTGAAATGCCGCACGGACGGTCCCGTCGCCCGACCCGTCCGACGTGAATGACGAGAGGCGCGAGCGCGCACTCGGGTCCAGGTGTGTGGTGTCGACTTCGTCGTCCGAGCCCGAGTCCGAGTCGACGTCTGACGACAGCGTCGACACCGACGATGTCGACACGTTGGCCTCGGCGAGCGAGTATATGAGCGACTTCTGCAGACGCGACGGGTCCTCGGAGTCGGCGTCGTCGTCGTCCGGGTCGACAAAGGCGGCGGCGTTGGTCGACGGCCCCAGCAGCGAAGTGTCCTGCTTGGCAGGCTGGGCCGACCACGTCACCGTCGATACGGACGACCCCGGAGCGAGGGTGGTCTTGTCGGAGACGCGCACGCCGAACGACACCAGGCTGCCCGGCTGGATGGTGCAGTCCCTCCCGATGACGGCCTTGTCGGCCACCACAGCGCGGGTCACGCGCGAGTTGTCCCCCACCGCGGCGCCCTCCCAGAGGAAAGAGTCCTCCAGCACGACGTTTGCGCCAATCTTGCAGCCCCGGCCGACGAAGCTGTTCGACACGGTGGACCCTTTACCGATAGATGCGCCGCTGCCGACGACGGACCGGCGCAGCACGGCATCGCGTGCGCAGTCCACGCCGTCCTCCATGGCCACAGCGCCGTCGCGCGACCGGTAGTTCAGCGCCTGCGCGGGGAGCATGTTGGTCAGCGGGGAGAAGGGTGCGGTCCAGCCGTCCAGGACGTCGCGGCTGATGGCGTCGTACATCTGCAGGTTGCTCGCGCGGGCGGCGTACCCGCCCTTGACGACGTCGGCGTAGATCATCTTGCCGTTGAGCTCCCAGTCCTTGAGCACGCCGTGGAGAAAGTTGCGGCGGGGCAGCTCGTAGTCGAAGCTCTCGGACCACAGAGCCAGCACCTCGGGCGTGCAGATGTCGACCTGCGCGTCCACCAGGTCGGCCCTGATCTCGAAGTCGGTCGACAGCTCCTCGGGCACGGCCGGGTCGAGCATCACGTACCGCTCGCTGGACAGGGCGTTGACCTCGTCATAGTGCAGGCACCGCCCGCTGACCGAGTCGATGGCGAAGATGGGCGTGATGCCCTTGGGCTTGGTGCGGTGGCCGCCGGCCCCGGCGCTGGTGAGCACCATGGTCATGATGTTGGCCGCGCTCTCCTCGCGCCTCTTCTTGTGCGCCGCCAGCACGCCGTCCAGCAGTATGTTCGACACCAAGTCCCCGTGCACCAGAAGGAAGTCGCCGTCCACCAACGACCGCTTGTCCATGTCCCGCAGCACGTCGCCCACCGACCGGGCGTCCGCCACCCGCACAAACTGCACCACGCTGAACGGCGAGGTCCGCGACGTCGTCGCCCACCGCGATCCGTTGACGTACGACTCCACCTGGTCCGTATGCGCGCCGCAGTAGATATACACCTGGTCCACGCCGTTCATCGCCAGGAACTCAAACGTGTATTCGATCAGCGGCGTGTTGGCGAGGGGGAGGAGGCACTATGTCAGGAGGTCAGTTCGATCGATATCCAGGTAGCTTTGCATAGGGAGGGAGGAGAGGGGAGGAGAGGTAGGTCATACTCTCGGCTTCTCGACGGAAAACGGTCGGAATCTATCTTGGAATGAATCGGCGAGGACCTGCGAGGGTGGTGCGAATGTGTCAGATTAGCCATTGATGATTTCGACGGCATGTGCTGCCCGTCTTGGTCTCGGTGCTGCTGGTGCCCCGCCATACCACTGCCTGGAGGTGATCCTCGCTCTTGGTCTCTCCGCCCGACTTCTTCTTGCCCTTGCTGGCACTGGCATTCTTCCCCTTGTGCGACATGTCGGATGCCGTTGCGGTGATGTTTATCGGAGAAAAAGGTCAATGTTCCTTAGTGGGGGAGTGTGGCCAAAGTCATCTTCCTGGGAGCTTGTCTCTTTTGACTCATCCGTCCTCGTCCCACCATGACAAGAGTTTCGTTGTGGGGTAGAGTTTTTCCCGATTCGCCTACGCTGCACTTTTAGTCAGCTCACTTACCCTGTAGTATAGTCTGTGCTCTGTGGCACTCAAATTGCGTGACTAAGCAGCCGAGGGCTGCTGCCGCAGCTCGAGACGACAGACATTATTCAATACGGAGAAGGCGATTTGACACGACGACGTGGAGAATGCGAATAGCCTCTGTCCCATTCAGATCTATTCAACCGCTGCTGACTCCTTGAGTGTTGTCACTTCTATACCCTGATAACGTGCCTCTCACTTATATTGAAGTAAGATCCTCGGTGGAACGCACACCAAGTAGTGATAACGTCAAGATATCCATCAACTTGCAGCACACCAACAACCGAGACAGACGACCAGCATACAATCCGCTAGAACGTCCGGTATCTACGCTAGAACTCTTGCACGCCACCTTCTACTACTACGGAGCAGAATACATTCTCAGCACATTCCCACGATCACCTGTGGCGCATCCCAAGCCTCGCCACGGCATTGACAACTGACACTGACAAGTAGAGGAAAGACGGTAGCAGCCGATGGTCAAAAGCCGACGAGTGGGACAAGAACCGACGTGTTTCAAGAATCCGCGGAATGTCAAGAAGAGAGCAGACAAGGAGCTCAGATGATAGGACAGCTAGCCAAAACAGTTCACAAGTGACATGGTCTCCTCCCCCCATCCCCTCGCCATGTACCGCTTGGAATCGAAAAAGCGGATTTCTCATTTCTCTAACTTTACACCTCATCTCCATCGGCATTCTTCGTTCCCTGTCATCCGTATAACAAGGTTTGGTCGCCCTGACTATCCAGATGCGCGGCGAGAGGGTCGAGAACGTAACTGTCAAGAGCATTCACAGGGTGGGGGTGTGTAATGCTGATACTGCTAGTACCAAGGTATCAACCTGGGAATCGGATCTGGTACACTGAACGAATACACCCCTCAGCTGCAGATAAGGGAAATTGATAGCAAGGGGTACCAGACTGGCAACATCCGTCAACAACTATGCCGTTTGCTTGATGCTCGACGTCCGAATGCTCCCGATTCCAGGCCCATAATACCCCTTGCGTAAAAAGTATTACTGTCCGGAACTATCAACGGGTAAGGCAATAATAACTGACAACGTGGCGGCAGGGGGGGAGGGGGGAATCGAAAAAGAAAGAGAAGAATGCATAACCCACCCCAGCTTTCTTCATCACGTCATAGTGGGATTGAATAATAAGAGGTATAATGGCGGATGTGTGTGTGTATTGCGTGTGTATCCTTTATACGGGACATATCTGCAGATTATAGTATAGGCACTTATAGGATCCTAGGCCTACTCGTATAGCTATTCTTACATAATAATCCGCAGAGGGAGGAGCATTATTATATAGGTACTTGTGCCATGTCCCTGTCCAACCTCGTGACTTATCTCGACAATATTCAAATCCTCCTTTGGATCTCGCTCCATCACACACTCCCATGGCTCGTCCGGCTAGATCCGATGCTCTGTGATTCGTAGAACCGTGCAGGAATGTCTTCGAAATATGTGCATTGTAAACTATCGGACAGGCCGCAGCCAGACAGTTGTTTACGAGTCTACAACTCTCTCAGCTAACCAGAAGAGAAGAAAGCAGAAGAAAAAAATATACAGGATTTCGCGGCCGCCGGCTAGCAAGGGTAGTAATCCGGTACCGACCGAAGGGACAAGCCTGCAGCCTTCAACTCTAGCACAAACTCTCTCGCTTCCAGACTCTCTCTCTCTCTCTTCTTCTGTCTCGTGTGTTCGGGAAACTCGTAATGATGGATTTCTCCCCGAATTCTCCAAGTTGCCAGTTGAACCAGCAGACCCTTGTCTCACCCCTTTTGCGTTACTCGTGCGCCGCGCCCCCCTCCCCTTTTAAGCCGTCCCCCGAGACCTGTTGGTCGTCGAGACCCAGGTCAAACAAAAGAATCGACAAAACGATTGAGTGAGAATGTGTTCCTCCCAATTCTGTACCCTTACCCCCTTGCCCACCCAAGGGTACCCAAGGGGGTACCCACTTCAGGCGGCCCGGATGTCGGTTAGAGGGCCCTTGAAGGTTGCGGTTTGCCTGCATACGCTCAGCCCGGCACTAGGAGATCTGCTTGGCTTTGTCTCCCTGTCTCCTTGTCTTGTCCCCTACTAGCTCGCCATGCAACACGCGTTTGTATGATTCCCGAGCCAGTGGGTCACGGTAGTTCAAACCCTAACAAACCCCCCCCCCCCCCCCCCCCCCCCCCCTCCCACTCGTCTTACCAGTACTCCGTATCAGACGTGCAATTGCCACCTCTTCCATTGGCTACTCCAAGCGACATCTCCGAGCGAAAAAATGAAGGTCATATCCACACGGGCCGCCATGTTGACTCAGTGGCATGGAAGACAAGGCACGTTGCTGGCGGATCCTGTGCTACGCGAAATGCACCCAAGGGATGAGGCCGTACCCGTCTGATCGAGTGGTCTGATGGACAAGACCGGACACGTTTGGGTTACAGCAGAGAAGCAGCATACTCGTAGATGCGATCGGAGGAGAGCGTGTCCTGTGTCGTCGGGCATCTCCGTCCCGCCATTGTCGCGTCATCATGTCTCGTCATTGCCCCCCCCCCCCCCCCCCCCGATTGGGAGCGTTACCGGATATCAAGACCCCTCTTGACAAGGCTGGTCTGGGGATCTAATCGAGTGCATGTACAACGGATACATACGACCGCAAACGCACGCCACATCCATGGCCGACGACGGCCCAGAACCGGGGTGGTAGGCAAGGCTGGCGGACCGGTTCGGGTGTGGAGAGCGGGGGAAGCATCTCGCGGGAACGGGTCATCGCAGAAGGAAAAGCGGGGAACATTGCCGGCAGAGGGTCAAGGCCCAAGGGTTCCAAGTCAGAGAGGCCAGAGGGAGAGGCATGCCTTGGCAGTCTTTCTCGTATGTGTGTGTGAACCAACTGCCAACTGCCAACTGCCGATTGCCGACTGTCCACCTTACTGGCCACCCCTCCCTCTGGTACTCGTATAGGTATACTCGCGCTCGTATGAGTCGTAACCCTTCAACCCAGACCAGATGATGCGTGCTTCTCAGTCAGACTAGTGGGCCAAATGTCGGGACTCTTCTCCTTTAGGAAGTAGGACGGCAGCACGCGTGGCCACTTATGGAGTGGTTGTGGTGACAGTGGTGACGGTGGTGGCAGTGGTGACAGTGGTGATGGTGCTGCTGCTACTAACGTAAGAGAGAGATGGCTAGAATCACGGGCTTGTGTCGCTCTAGAGTCCTATGACCCCCGCCGGGTCATTTGGTTATGTGCTAGAGCTTTCTTTCCTTTTCGGGATTCCCTGGTATGAGGGGATCAACCGGATAACTGAGTGCTTGGCCTGCGCCGACAACTCAGCTGGTGTTCTCGTGGACACTCGGTATGGATTCTGGTGAGGGCTCAATCGGACATCGAACGATCTGATAAACGACGGGTCCTGGTCCTAGCACTACCCCATGCAACACGAGCTTGCGAGGGTGAGTGGCAGTACTGGGCAGAAGAGAGAGAGAGAGAGGGGAAGAGAAGAGGGAAAATGTGGGAGAATACCAACGCCTCCCGCCGAGGTACCACTCCACGACTGGCATGCTGTTGGCGAGGGAGAGTACGGAACCACGCGACGGAGCGGCGCAGAAAGACTAGAGAACCCAAAAAGTTTTGATGTGACGGGGAAAAAGTTTGAGAAGAGGTACCGTGGTCCGTTGGCTCGTCAAAAGTTAAGAGACGCGTGCTGTTCTGGTGCACGGTAAATATCTATGAGGCTACGGGGAGGAGTGAGAGGAGTACGAGAAGCGGCGGGAGGAGGAGGAGGACGGCCAGAACTGGCAGTGCCTTGGCAGGTCGTACCTTCCTTGGGAGCGAAATTGTTGGAGTGACACAGTCATATGGGAAGGAGCGAATTAAGGGTAGTTCCCAGTTGGATAATAGTTAGATGCCAGCCACGGTAACACCAACGGAGCCACACATCTTTTCTCACCATACGATACTTGGTAAAGATGCCGTCCAACCGCATAACACGGACATGATGGTATGCAGTAGTATTACTCTCTTCGTCTCCCTGACTCCGAATGAATATATCTCCGTACGAACCCACACAACATCTTACCTGAAAAGAGGGAAAAAAAGGGTCTCGGGGGGCTGGAACCTAGCAGCATCGGCTGTTTAGCCTGCAGAACGTTATTGGACTCGGGGGCGCGGGAGCATACGCTAAGACCTCTAGAACCCTGTTAGCGCAGCAGCTGGGATATCACAATTCACAATGCTTATAGTCGCGTACATGTATATGCTGTTAATCTACGGAGGAGTATTATTACGAGCACGGAGTAGTACCTAGTGGTAGTGGGCACGAATAGATCATGTTCAAATCCACGATTTTTCCTTATATATACATAAAATCTTTTCGCGTCGCCAACCAGGACAGCCCTCCCTTTTTTGAAAAACTGCGAAGACTCATACCGTGAGATCTTATATGCCTCGTAACAGAGTACTAGTATTTCTGCAAGTCAATAGAGATATAAATGAGATGTAGGAATTCTACCTCGAATAAGTAGATTACCCTTGAAGAAGGCATCTTCGTTAGGTATTTCCTGGTATCGTTCACGCTACAGGCATTGATAGTTTGGGAGGTCTCCTCTAGCCTTCTATATAGTATACTGGCAGCCCTGATATACTTTATACGTGATCGCTATATTCGTACACTACAGCAGCCCGCGGTTCAGCGCCTATGAATAGATCCAACACTGGGAAAGAGAGGTGTGGCGTATTCTTGGTCTGGGTAGATGTACTCTGACAAGATATTCCTCTCAGGTGACTGACTGGGACTTGACACCTGATCACCAACCCTGAGTTACATTCACCTACCTGCTCTCGATCCTCCCCTTCAGCGCCCTTTCAGCGCCTGACCCCTTGAGAGCTCTGGACTGTACCCCTTCATGCACTCTTCAGGGCGCCCCTCATCGAGGCTCTCCCCCCCCCCCCCCCCCCCCCCCCCCCCCCCCCCTCCCCTACGAGCATCGGTCCCTTCCACCATAATCGACGCCCTTGACTCCCAAGCGCTCGTATTACTGTCATGACCACTCTTTTTTTTTTTTTTGCTCTCTTAGCCCTGGCCCAACGACCTCTCTCAGAGACTGTCTTGTACCCCGCTGTCTTGACAAGTACATATACATATAGCTCTGTGCTCGTGCCTCAGCACTCTTTTGTTTTGTGCCTGCTGTGCTGCTGTTTCTTATTTTACTTCTCTCTTACCCACTGCAGAGGTTACCACCAAAACTACGCGCTCCTGCACTCCACTGAACCAACCGTCAGTCGCTCTTTTGAGTCTTACCCATCGTCGGCTGCACCTTAGGAGACTGAGTTTCGTTAGGGAAAGAGCCAGCAATTGATTGGGAAAGAAGGAACGACCCAGATACTTTTTTTTTTCCTTTCCCTTTTCCTCTCCATTTCTTTCTTTCTCTCCATCTGTCAAAGAGTCTCTCACAAGAGCCTCACTCAGTCTCCATTTAATCTCTCAAGTCAAGTGTCAACAGTCAAGAGCCAGAGAAACGAACTCTCCCAGAGTTTAACTCTCACAGCGAGACACCAAAGACATTCACTACCATTCCCCCACTCATACCCTTTCCCACCATCCGCTATCCGCCACATTCCTCCTTCTTTCTTTCCTCCTTCCTTCTTTCCTCCTTCTCTCTCTCACTTGTTCCTCTGCCGCGGTGCTAAGCAATAATAATACTACCCACTATTGCTACCGTCTTTGACTCCATCTGGCTACTCATTCTCCATTCTTCCGCTCCGCCGCCGCCCGCCGCCCGTCGCACGCCCTGTACATACGTCCTTGGCTGAACCTCTCGTTTCTCCTTCACCCAAACTTACAATCTCTGATATAACCCGTCTATCGCTCCCCTTGTGTCGAGCTCGTCGACTTGCTACTTGCTTGCTTGAATCTCTCCCATCCCCCCCGCCCCCCTTCTACGTACACCTCCGGGCCCTTGATGCTGTGTGAGTAACCGGCACGTTTCTCTCGGTCCCTTCGCAGACACACGCGCAACGCAACGCGATCTCATACCCGCCCATCCGAACCCACCTGGCCTCAGTCACCTGGTCAGACTACTTTTATTCTTTGGACCTTCCTCCCCCATCTCCCCTGTCTCCCAATCCCGTCCGTCCTCTACCCCACCCATTCCGGCGCCCTCACGTCTTTTTTTCATCCACCGCCTCGCATATTTGAGAGCAGACAGCCTGTCGCATACCGAGCGCACGGCCAATTCGACTACGTTCTGCCTTGTCAAGAGCTTGGCCGCCCGTCGCATCGCGACGCCATCACAAAGTCATGTCCGGCACAGAGATGGCACCGACGTCTGGTGGTGGCAGCAACGCCAGCGAATTCGTGAGCACTCCCCCCCCTCTCTCCCACCTCCTGTTGGGCGGTCTGGCAGCAACGACACGAAAACAACAAGAAAATCGCATTATTGACATCGCAATAACGATAGGTTCGCAAGCTTTATCGGTACTCTATCACCCTCTCCATGCGGCCGCCCGAACTGCTAACTAACTAGCCCCTCTACAGCATGCTTGAAGATCCTTCCCACCAAGATGTCGCGCGGTGGGGAAAGGTCGGCGACTCCTTTGTCGTTGTCGAAGTGCGCCTCCCTCCCCATCCGAGTACAGGAGATTACCAGTACAAGATGATCTCGTGTATCCGCCACCGCTGTTGCTAACCCGTTGGACTATGATCAGGGCGAGAAATTTACACGCTCGATTCTGCCCAAGCACTTCAAGCACAGCAACATGTCAAGCTTCATTCGCCAACTCAACAAATACGACTTCCACAAGGTCAAGCCCTCGGGTGACCACGACAGTTCCTCTCCGCTAGGCAATGTAAGATCCTCTCTCCTCTGAAGCGACATTGTCATAGGTTCCTCCCTTCTGCACCGACGCGAGGCTGACGTGGTTGGGCGGTAGATTCTCGAGTTCAAACACCCCCATTTCCGCATCGACAGCAAAGATGATCTCGACAACATCCGCCGCAAGGCTCCCGCTCCCAGAAAGGCCCCCGTCTCGGACGACATAACCACAACCCACCACATCAATGCAATGTCAGAGCAACTGGCCGCTACCCAACAACAAGTGCAGCAGCTCCAGGAGCTGTATGGCGAAGTCCTGCAGACCAACAAGATTCTCGTCAACGAGGTTCTCAATATTCAAAAAATCCTCTCCATGCAGAAGCAGGCTTCTCACGAAGTGCTCAACTACCTCACGCCCTACGAGGGAGCCACCTCGGCTGTGAACAATCACGGCAACCACAGCGGCGCCAACGGCGCCAACGGCAACGGCGCCCAGCCCGTTACTTCCAACGGCCGGGGGGGCGCAGAGACAGAGGAGCCCGTGCCTGAGCTACGGAGAGCTCGCGAGCTCCTCACCAGCATCAACACCGAGACGGCCGCCGATCGTGAGCTTGACCGACTCCAGCACATGTACGGCTCACCCGCCGATTCGAGCGCCATGGTCACACCCACCTCGATGGGTATACTTAGCGATCCCATGCACGACATCAACCGCTATCCCGTCTACCCTGTTGGACAGACAGTCGGTATCGACCCCTTCCACGCCGATCACATCAACAAGATCCCATATGCTGTGCCCGCCGACCTGAACCCCGGTGTCATGATGGAGCGAACCCAGATCACCCAGCCGCCTCAAGGGCCCGGCATGACGGCCACGGCTGGTCCCACCAACGGTGCCGACAGTGTATGGGCTAAGAAGCCCCTCGTGCTCCTGGTCGAGGACGACCCGACATGCACCAAGATTGGCATCAAGTTCCTGGGGACAATGGGCTGCGAAGTGAAGCATGCACCCAACGGTGCCGAGGCCTACTCTCTCATCATCAACGGCCCCGACCGCGACAACTATGACATGATCTTCATGGACATCATCATGCCTCGTCTGGATGGCGTCTCGGCTACGATGTACATCCGTCAGACCAACACGACGATACCCATCATTGCCATGACGTCAAATATCCGCCCCGAGGAAGTCAATGGCTACTTTGAGCACGGTTAGCTGCCCCAAGACGGTCCCGAGTTCCGACCGGTCTCGACTGCATGATACTAACACCATGTCCCGCAGGTATGAATGGAGTGCTGGCAAAGCCCTTTACCCGTGACGGTCTGTCGAAATCCATCCGCGCACATCTGGGCCATCTCATGAAAAACCCTCCGAATGATGGTGAGATGGGATCCAGTGCCGGATACTACCCCCTGGACGGGCAGCAGCAGCAGCAGTTCCTACACCAGAATCCCGCAAAGTACGAGGCGCAGACGCCGCCTGCCAACGCACAGAACTGGTCGACCGGCCTGGACCAGGGCTACTTTGGTATGAATGGAGGCGGCCAGTACAACAACATTGGGTCTAACCCTCACTCCATGTACTCGACCAACATGTCCTCTGCCGACACAAACTCGCGGCTGTCGGATGGCGAGAGCCCACCCGTCAAGAGACAACGGACGACCGCCCAGGGGTACTAGGTGTCTGCTACATCTAACCCTCATGTGGCAAGACGCCTTGACCCTCTTGCCGTATCCTTTGTTAGCAAACGACTTTCCATGTATATGTTTTTTTTTTTTTGCGATGATGACCCTGTTTTGGTCTCTGGGAAGACGGCTGTCATCCCCAGAGACGCGTATGAAGGCGTTGCGGTGGTTTTTCTTGGAATATTCTTGGATCTCTTGAATTTTCTTATTTTTATTTTGGAAGAGCGGCATATATTACCACACTATTACGTCTGGGATACACCCGTGTGGGGGAAAAAAAGTGTTTTTTTTTGTTTTGTTTTTTTCAAATTCTCTACATCTTTCACGTTTCTTATTCGTTTTTGGAACACGGACAATATGAATGGAAATGACTCTCTTATATGGCCTTTCTTTTTTCTTTTTTCTTTGGGAAGGGAAACCCTATCCCCGGAAATATATTCTCTCTGTTGTCTTAATTATTACGGTTTTTTTTCCTTTATTCTCTCTCTCTCTCTCCCTCTCTCTCCTTCTCTCTCCTTCTCTCTTGCAATAGCTCTCTTCCTTTTCTTGGAGTTTCTCCCGAATCTAGGGATTGACCATGGTGCCATAGTGCGCTGAAAAAGAGGGATGGAAGAGTTATAACCATGAAATGGTGGCAGGGGTGAAGTTTTCCAGGGGATATCTACCGAACCCCCCCCTCGAATATGGGAAATGGGATTCATGAGCGATTTCTCGAATGATAGTCTCATGGCTGTCTTGATACGATGTCTATCTCGCATGATGGACTACTGCTTGAAATGGTGGCACATGTTCACGATGCGGGAGAGCGGTGCGGTGGTCAGAGTCTCTGTCTATGTAACGCCGGTGCGGGACGTCCCACATGTGGACAAAGGGCGCATGGTGGTTAGAGTCAAGGGAAGGCATACGGATGACGAGAGCGGTTGTGGGAAAGTTGGATTCATGAAGACGTCTCATCTACGATCTGATGAGGCTAAGTGGTAACCAGCTAAGGAAGGCAGACGAGCAGGTCCTTGAGCTTCTCCAGGACGGTAGCCTGGCGATCATCGTTGACGGTAGTCTTGTCGGAGGCGTCGCCGACGCTGACAGAGATGTAGCAGCCATCCTGGCCGGTGACGTGGGTCTCGGTGGGCAGACGGGTAGAGCCGCACCAGTCGACGTCCTCCGGCGAGGCGAAGCCGGGGTTGATGCGGCTGAGAACCCAGCTGAAGTCGGAGGCGGCGGTGCAGCCGCCCTCTACCTTGGGGAAGTTGACGTTGAGGAAGACGCCGTCGGGGAGGTAGGGCTTTCCCGACGCGATGACGGCCTCGGTCAGGGTCGCGGCCAGCTCGGCGTAGACGAGGCTGCGCTCGGGCACGGGCGTGGCGTCAAAGGCGACGTTGCCGCTCGACAGGCCGGAGAAGGCGATGGCGGGGATGCCGGCCTCCTCGACGGCGTAGCAGGCCGACCCGACGGTCCCGGAGAAGGGGACCTGGACCCACAGGTTGGAGCCGACGTTGGGTCCCGTCACGGCGATGTCGGGCTTCACCCCGCTTCCCCAGACCTCGGGGGCGAAGACGTCGAGGCCGTAGCGCATCGACGTGGCCGGGTACGAGTTCACCCAGTTCAGGTCGGCGCGGGACGGGTCGGAGCCGTACGGACCCGAGTTGGCGGGGCAGCTGTCGTATTCGCAAGGTTCGGTGCGGTTCGAAGGGTCAGAGTCTAGGGAGCCTGTGTTTTTTTTTTTTTTTAATACATGCATCGTATGCTGGTCTTGTTGACAGAGTGAGAGTGCGTGCATGTGTACATGTGCGCGTGAAGAAAGAAGGAGAGTGCGAGCGTGCGAGGGAAGAGAAGAAGAGGAGGAGAGGAAGTGCGAGCGTGCGAGGCCAAAAAGAAGAGAAGAGCGTGCGAGGTCATGAGAAGCATACCCTTGCCAGATTGGTTATCAGCGGGAGCAGAGAGGAGAACATCGTGACCGGCGTCGATGAGGGCATCGTTGAAGGTGCGGATATAAGACTCTGCCCAGCCGTCGTCGTTGGACTGGATGATACGAACCCCCTGAACGGCGAGGGCCTGGAGAAGGACGAGGGAAGTAGTGATGGTCTTCATTTTTTTCTTCTTCTGTCTTAGGGTTGGGGGGTTTGCAGGTGCGCGTATTCCTTTCCTTTCGTCGGGGGTGAAATTCTTGGCTGTAGGGGCGAGAAAGAGAGGGGGGGGAGAAGAAGAGAAGAAGAAAGAGCGTGTGATGTATGCCAAGTGTAGGTCCGTGTCGGTTCTCAAGCAATGGAAGAAAGAAAAAAGAGAGACGAGAGGTGAGAAGTCCAAGCTTGTCGACGATGCAAAAGAAGGTGAGTGAGAGCGGAGCGAAAGGAATAGAGAGGACGGAAGGACAGAAGGAAGCGTTGAATGTCTTTATAAGAGAAGGAGGAGAGCTGCACTGCCTTCCTCTTCTTTTTTTTAAAAAAAAGAAGAGATAAGAAGAAGGAAACCCCTTGTCAATAAAACGGAAACCTCTTTTACTGGTAACAGGAATATTGCGGAGTATTCGCCGGCACTACGATAAAGAGAGAGAAAAGCTCTCAAAGCTGTAACACGAAATCCCCCTGAACAGGAGTCCTGATCGACATACCCATCTATCCTACATTGGGAAGCCGCCGTGGCTCTGTGCTGGCACTAGATACATACTATTGTATAGTATAATATTATAGTATCATCATGGGCGGATTAGTCTGCCTGTAGTCCGTACCACACGTGCCCGGTTCCTGGTATTGATTGTTGCTCGTTACAAGTCGTGAACCTGTACTCTGCTTTACCCGTGCTCTGCTTTGCCCATACTGAGACTACTAGTCACTACTACTACTACACTAGTAGCAATATCACCTCTTCCGTAGAGGGTAGAGCAGTATCGATGATGATGCTATCGTGGCAGACTCGAATTATGGAGACGCGAGATCCCACGTTCTACCGTTCGCCTCAGTCGGTTGGTGGATTCCTCCAATGCCGGGTCGATGCACGAGGCTCAAGAGAAGAAACGAGAGAGGCGCCCCCCCCCCCCCATTCTCCACCGTCCCCTCCCCTCAAGTAGATGAGACTACACATCGGTACCTGTGAGGGGTGATGTTGGAGTCTGGTGCTGCCGCACGTATCGGCGGTGATGTCTCGTACTCCTCCCGCGCGGGTGTGAAGAAGAACAGAGCCAAGGTCCTCGGGATCGAGGAGTGCCGTCGAGGAGGAGGATCAGACTGCTGGGACTTGGCCGGCGGGCACGTGGACCTTGCCGGTTTCCTCGGCTTCCCCCGCGGACAGGGACGATGATCTCGAAGGGGGCAACTCCCGCATAGCGCTCTCCTCTCTCCGAAAGGGGGGCGGTTGGAATGATGAGGGGCTCGGGTACGTTGAGAGATGCGACCGGAGGCATGACGCATAACGGTTCGCTGCACCACCGCCTTGCACCGCCTTGCACCGCTGCGCCTGCGCCGCTGCGGTTGGATCTGAACTCCCTCCCTGGCTGATCCTGTGGGACTCTTTTCTTATTCTCCTTTTTACAGACCCGTGAGAAAGCGCGGCGGCGGTGCGCCGGGGACCTGGTCGGGCATCGGCGAAGGGGGGGGGGGGGGGGGGGGGGGAGGAGGAGAGGGGGATGTTGCCTGTTGCCTGCTCGATAGTCAAGGTTGGTTGACCTGAACCTCTTCCGTCTTCCCGCAAAGCGAAATGATGATCGAATGAGATTGGCAATTGCGCCTTCGGTCATGCCGTGGACCGTGCGTCTTTGTGGTGTCCTGGATACGGATTGTCCCGCTGGCGTCCCCATGCGCAGCCCTACATGTGATGCTCGTATTCGACGGAATCGGTTCTCGCAAATGCCAGTGTCATCGCGATCCGTGACGTATCAGCAATAGCCTACAGGTGATAGACTGGACGGAGACAGACGGACAGTGGAGCGTTTCGCGGCTTCTACAGAAGGGGACGCGTAGGTCCCAGGTACGGTACCGGTACCATGTCGATACCAGTCGAAGAGGTTGTGGCATCCTCTCTCGACACCCATCCAGTCGCTCGACCTGATGAAGGTCGTCGGTAGGACCGAGCGGATGTATCCGAGACCGTTCGAGGCTACGTGGCTGGCAACTCTTATCATGCAGTACGGCTGATGAGAGCCGCTAGAAGAGTTCCGCCTCCCGTGGGTATATACAGCATCGCTCGCAGAGACTGCTCATGCATCGGCAACCCAACATGCCGTCCCGAGAATGACGGAGCCTTGCGTTGACGGTGATGCGGGATGCAGGGTAGGCCACGGCACGCATTCTACACGTCAATGATGTATATGCGTACGGTATGTCTGGCAATACTGATGCCATCATCATACATGTAGACGTACATGTAGACATGTGTAGACATACATGTAGACGTACATGTAGACGTACATGTAGACGTACACGTAGACGTAAAATGTACTCGTCATCTGTAGACCTAGACGCATACGAGGGCATGCATGTAGATATACACGTAGACGAAAGCATGTACACATACATGTGCGCACACGTCTTGTACGCATACTGCACGCTTTCATGTAAGCTCTCCACTCTCTCTTCCTGCGTCCGGGTCGTCGACGAGGACCATAAACCGGCGTTCGGAAGCAGATCAGGCCACCGCGTCGGGATGTATCGTGTCGATACCGTGTGCATCTCCTGCGATAGGCAGGGGGACCGTGCATGCCAGTCAAAGCAGAGAAACATAAGAAGAAGGATGAAAAAAATGATGCTGCAGACGGAAGCTGGGTATATGTCACGTACACACAGCGTGTTCCCCAAAATCGACAACCACCATCTGCTCCGTACTCCCTCACAACCTGCATCTACTACCGTCTTACGCCGCATGCGCATATGCCTCGGCACATGCACATCTCCCATGTTGTACGGCGGCCCTGCAGGTCGGACCTTGCCTTCTCCCCCCCGCCCCCCCCTTGACCAAACCCGTAAGACCCCCAATACACCCAATACACCCAATATCCCCCGTACCCAACCGACGCCGTAAACTCCCAAGGGACCGGGACCGGGTCCGAGTACCGTGGCAACCTCAACCCAGCACGTCGTAGTCGCTGTCGAGCAGGGTGCAGTTGACGGGGATGGAGATGGACGGATCCGGCGACGCAGCGTTGGCGCCGTTGCTGTAGTTGTAGGTAGGGCTGAGGCTGATGATCTGGCCGACGGTGGAGCCGTACCTGTCGGCCAAGTCCTTGTAGACCACCTTGGAGCTCATCTGGAAAGGTTGGATCACGCACTCGCTAGGGTCGCACAGGGGCACCTTGACGAACTGGCCGACCGGCAGCTGCTCGGTGGCGGACGTCTCGTTCCCGGACGTGAGGGAGCTGACCGTCATGTTGAGGCGGCCGGCAATCTTGGCGTACGTATCGCCCCTCTGGGTGTAGTACAGGCGGGGGCCTCCGAGCACGCAGTTGCGGGTGCCCGGGCCCGAGAGGAGGCAGGTCTCGTTGTCGGGTTCGCAGACCTGCGGCGGGATGCGGATGCTCTGCCCGACGTTGGGGATGATCTCTACATCGGCCACTGCGAAACGTCTCAGAAACGAGAAACAAGAAAAGAATAAAAATAGAAAAAAAAGGAGGGAGAGGAGAACGAGAGCAGAAAAAAAATCAGACGATGATGGGTCCCTCCGTCTCCCCGTCGCTAGTGCTTCTCAACGGTGACGGCACTTACTGAGGTTCTCACGGCCGATGTCGCAGACACCGCGCTTGGTCGCCTTGGCGACATCGAATACGGTGGTGCCGTCGACGGTGATGGGGTAGAAGAACGTGGCGCTGTCAAGCTTGTCGGTATCGCATGATTCCCTCGAGCTCACGCCCACGGCAGATACGTAGCCTATGCTGGAAACGGCCGTGAGGAGGCTGGCGGTCAGATGCATGACTGTCGGTTGTCGGTTGTCAGTTTCTGCACTCTCTCTCTCTCTCTCTCTCCTTCTTCTCCTCCTTCGCCTTCTTCTTCTCCTTCTCCTTCTCCTTTTTTTTTATTTATTTATCAAGATGATATTTTTAACAATACTCTCCCGTTGGAAAAAAAAAATGTAAATTTTTCTTTTTCTTTTTTTCGGAGAGTTGAAAGACTGCCAAGAGACCGAGAGATGGATTGAACGGAAGAGGTATGGACGGGCCCTTAAACTATGTCGATGGGCTGAGGTACGGAGTACCTGTACGGACGATACTTGCAATACCTGGACCTGGACAAGCCAATCTCATTGTCATAGGCTCCTGAATATGATGACCCTGCCTACATGCTTATGCAGGAACCGCAACGATCGGCATCTTTTACGAGGCCAGAAACGTCGACGTCAGCTCCGTAGTGGAGGACGGCGTACGCGTCGTTTCCAATCCAAGGGAAACGTGAAACGGTATAGGGATATGACGGCGCCTCTAAAACAGGCTTATGAAGCAAACAAAACAAAAGCACCTTCCATAATGAACCGTCAATCCTGCAAAGAGAGAGGGAGAGAGGGAGAGAGAGAGAGAAGAGTCCCTTGTCGACGCGGTCTTTGCGTCCGGCATTGTCCAATCGGTATCGTGTCTCCCGCCCCGCTGGGCTTCTCATATGCCGAAGTCTGGCTGAGAATGGAGGGGACATGTCACATTACGCAATGCGTCGCATTCGACGGAACCCTGGAGGAAATCTTACCGAGCTGCTTCTCCCTCGGAGGCCGCGTCAACAGCTACCGTGCGACCCGCTCGCATACGAGGCTCGAATTGGCTGCCGGCTAGTCGGTAGCCTGGCTCGGGGGAGTGGCATAGACCCCATGGGCCACGCATCATAGCCATTACCGCTAGAGATTCTTCCAAGTTCCATGTAAGTTCGGTGGCATCGGGAGGTGGCGGCCCATGACGGGCTGTGTAGGAGTACGAGTACGAGTGATCTGCTAGGCTAGAGTACGAATGCGGATGCGCCTATTACTGATCGGGGGGGAGAATAGGCTGAGCTGTCCAACCTTGCAAGTACCGACGACGAATATGGTCCCCCCCCTTATACCCGTATGTCATCTCCGTTGCGTCGTAAGCCCTCGGGGTCAGGCTGGGTGGGACGACTGCTTTATATCTGAGAGGCCTCTCCCGTCTCTCCTCCCCCTTCCTCGAGAGACATCTGATCAGATCACCATCAGCCATCCTTCACCCGTCATCCAGCCAGCATATCCGACCTTCCCATGATGGCTCCTCCCTCCAAGCTCGCGCTCGGGAGCGCCATCCTGTCGCTCGGCCTCCCGGCCAACGCGTACCTCTACAACGAGACCATCCAGACCAGGTACGGTGCCGTGCAGGGCATACCCGCCCTGAACGCCACCTGCTGCTCCTACCTCCCCGGCTTCGAGGCCGTCACCGTCTGGAAGGGCATCCCCTTCGCCGCCGACACCGGCGGCGCCAACCGCTGGAAGGCTCCCCAGCCCCGTCAGGCGTGGAACACGACCCTCGTGGCCGACACCTTCGGCTCCGCGTGCCCGTCCGGATCCGCGCCCAACGGGGCCGTCGACCCGGTCACGGACGAGGACTGCCTGAACCTCAACATCTGGTCCTCGGCCAACAGCACGGCCGAGAAGCGGCCGGTCATGATCTGGAGCAACCCGGCCGGCTCCAACGGCGCGTCCAGCCTGTTCGACGGGGGCGCCATGGCCCTCCAGGACATCGTCGTCGTCACCTACAACTACCGCACCGGCCCCTTCGGCTGGCTCGCCCTGCCCGAGCTGTGGGAGGAGTCCGGCAACGTGACCACCGGCAGCTACGGCGTCCTCGACCAGGTCGCCGCCCTCAAGTGGGTCCACGAGAACATTGCCGACTTTGGCGGCGACCCGGACCGCATCACCACCGTCGGCCAGTCGGCCGGCAGCGCCTCCGTCTACCACACCGTCAACAGCCCGCTCACCAAGGGCCTCATCGTCGGCGCCATCGCCGAGAGCGGCATCCGCGACCCGCGCGACCCGGCCGCGACCTCGCTCGCCGAGGGCTACAACAACATGTCGACCTCGGTCGCGCTCAGCCGCGAGCTCATGGGCCTCCTCAACGTCACCACCGTCGAAGAGCTCCGCAACGACGTGACCGCCTCCGACCTGAGCACCTACAGCAGCTTCACCTTCTTCTCCAACTGGCGCGCCACCCTGGACGGCCACGCCATCCCGATGACGTACTGGGACCAGCTCCAGAACGGCCCCGCCAACGACGTGCCGCTCATCACCGGCAACACCAGGGACGAGTCCGGCGCGACCTACGGGGGCGTCGTCAACGTGTCCGACTACACCGAGACGATCCGGTCCACCTACGGCGACTGGGCCGACCGCTTCCTCAAGGCGTACCCCGCCTCCAACACCACCCAGGCATCCCTCAACACCAACCTGCTGGCCCGCGACGTCTCGCTCACCGGCTCCTGGAACTACGCCCGCCTGTGGGCCGAGACGGCGTCGTCGCCCATCTACACCTACTACTGGGACCACGCGCCGCCCGGCCAGGACCAGGGAGCCTACCACATGTCCGAGATCACCTACGTCTTCAACAACCTCTACGGCACCGACCTCCCCTGGACCTCGGTCGACTACAAGATCGCCAACACCGTCAACGCCTACTGGGCCAACTTCATCAAGACCCAGGACCCCAACCAGGGCGGCAGCTACAGGAACGGCTCCCTGCCGCGGTGGGAGCCCACCACGGCTGCCGAGCCTACCGTCTTCCACCTCTCCCCGTCCGCGCCCGAGAACGTCGACGGCCTGCCTGTGGGCTACGAGCAGGTGTCGGTCGCCACCGAGGCGCACCGTGTCCTGATCACCGACTTTTTCGAGTCGAGGACTGATGTGTCCCTGTAGATAGATATTGTCACGTTAGGCGGCATCGAAAGAGAGCGATTGATTTAGAAATTCCGAGAGGGCCCAGGGCCCAGGCCTCCCCCTCCACCACCTCCTCCCCCCTCCCCCTCCCCCCCTTCGGTATATATATATATGTATATAGCATCGATAATTGAACAGAATCGCTTAGTCGCTATTCGTCTTGTTCCGCCAGTATCGTCCTCTCCACTGTAACAGCGTCGTGGGCAGTATAGACACTCCTAGTATCAGAGCTGCTATCACAACCACACTGATCCGGAGCCCTACGTCGGCGAGCATATCAGGAATCCTGCGTCTCGTGTGTCAGCGCGTGGGAGAGCAGAGGAGAAGAGGGGCATTCGGGGTTGCCGGCGTCGCATATCAGAAACTTACCAGAACGGACCGATGAACCCCCAGCACTGCCGCACCAGCGTGATGAAGACGCCGATCGCGGCCGCTTCTTGCGGATAGCAGTCGACGGCGTAGGTGATCAGGATCGTCGTGACGATCTGATTCCCCGCCGCCGCGATGGAAGCGCCGATGATGGGCGTGACGTTCCACTCATCCGAGGCTCGGTCGATCTGCACCAGGAAGACGGCAACGCCGCAGATGCTCAGCGCGTAGCCGACATAGCTCAGCCAGAGGCGGTGCTCCGGCCGCGGCGAGTTCCCCTTCCGTTCGCGCGCCAGCATCCACTTGTCGGACATGACGCCGCCGATCTGCTCCCCGATGATGGTGCCGACGATGATCCCGATGTACTGGAGCCCGACCTTCTCCGGGCCGAAGCCAAACTTCTCCGGGAAGATCTGGGGTATCTCGAAGGTGGTCATGACGCTACCCCACAGGAAGACCATGGAGTAGGCAGCTGCCGGCAGGATGACGTTGGGGTACGTGACGAGGCGGAGGGGGGAGAGGAACGTGGCGAGCCTCAGAGGGGTCTGGTCGATGCGGCGGAAGCTGAGGTACTCCCGCCTGAACCTGGACGTCCGCTCGAGGGGTACATCGCTGGCGGGCTCGAACCGGGTCTCGGGTCCCAGGAGGGCATGCAGGATGAACTGCACGCCGTTGGTCTGACGGAGACGGCAAGTTAGCCTCTCTGCTCTCCCCGGTCGATGGGGGAAGCGAGGAAGGAGGGATGGGAGGGGGGAAGGCTGTCTCGGGCAGGCAAGGAGATGGGGGCCCCTTACGATTGCGAGCGTCCAGAAGATCCATCTATACGATACCCTCTCGGCGACGAAGCCGAAGATGAGGGGGGCGACGGGGACCCCCAGCGTCAGCATGGACGACCAGACGCCCATGAACCGGGCCCGCTCCTGGCGGAAGAAGGTCTCCTGCACGACCGCGGTCCCGAACGCCATGGCGGGAGAGATGAAGAAGGCGGTGATGGCCCGGCAGAGACCCATAGTCCCGTACGAGTGGGACACGGCGCAGCCGACATTGCCCACCAGGCTGCACAGCAGCGTGGCGAGGAAGACCGGCCGTCGGCCGTACGTGTGCGAGATGGGCCTCCACAGCAGAGGTGCACCGCCGAGGACGGCGATGACGATGGATACCAGGTAGCTCGTCCGCTGTACGCTGACGCCCAGATCTGCCGACAGCTCAACAAAGGCCGACTGGATCGAGGACGCCGTGAACAGGGCCATCATGGCATGGAACGCCACGAGGGAGATGGTCACGATCTTCTACAAGAGAGGTCAGATCACCTTTCTCTTCCCCTCCTCTCCCTTTCTTCTCCTTCCTGTCTCTTCTTCTTCCTCCTCCGCCCCGCATTCATGTTTGGATTGAAGACGGATAGTACCCATCTTCATCTTCAGAGGGTCGGTGCACGCGACACATACCTTCCATTGTGGCCAATTCAAGGGGTCAGCATCACTCATATACGGAAGAGGATCCAAGTCGACGGTTCCATGACGGTTAAGAAGATATTGCTTATGGTCTTCGGTCAACGATGACGCATAACGCTTCATCTCAGTTCATGTCAGTTGGTCATCGACGGATGCGGACCGATTGATAAGCGAGCGAACCGGGGAAAGGGGGGGGGGGGGGGGCCCAGGGGAAGAAAAAAGAGGGGATTTTGCTAATTATCTCATCATGATATCTGGGGAAAATAACGGGTCTTTTCTTTTCTTTTTTTTTTTTTTTTTTTTCCATCCTAGTATATTAGGCAGACATAGCCCCCGATTACGGAGTGAAGCAAAATAAATAATAGCGTATGAGTTGGTATTGATAACACCGGGGGGATAAGATGGACAGACAGTCTGACGCGTAACGGAACTCACATTGCTTATACGATCGGCGCTCTCGAGAGCTTCGACGTCCTGTTTCGACATCCTGACAGGGAGAGGGTCCGTCAAACTGAACTGTCTGTCCTTGGTAAGGGAGAGAGGATGACACTTGGAAGGAGATTCTCATGTTCGGACAGAACCTAGCATGGTGGGAGGGGGGGGGGAAACTCCTCGCCTTGATATATATAATACTGATCAAGGTCAACTTCACCCTCCCTACCTCCCTCCCCCCTTCAGATCCCTGTCAGCTTGTTCTGACTAGATAGAGCGAGGCGGCGCAGTGCCGTGCTACCCCACGGGGTTACAGCAGATGCCGCTCGGCTGCTTCTAAAACGAGACAGCGCCTCAACTCAACCCCCGCACTGACCAAGTTGCATCGTCCAACCTGATGTCGAGCATTTGACGGTTCATCTTCTTCCTATTGGATGGTCAATCCGTCCAAGGTTGGGACTATCCAGGGTCGAAATCCTGGTAATCATCTGGCAGGATAAGTTCAAACCCGGATGCTCGGCAGGTGAACCCGGGCTCCTATCACGAACAGCAGTCTGTCCCGGATGCAACTGTGGTATCCGACCGGTGATGCAGGCCGTGCTTCCTGCTGCTTAAATTGGAGTCGGTTGAGCCGCCTGAGGTCTGGCAGATGCCTGATTCCTACTCTCTCGCATGGGATAACGTGATCCTACAATCAGGATGCGCCTTGCCAGAGGCCATCTGAGGCTGTGCTGCGTCGGAAGCCAGTTGCACCGCAGCGTCTCACGCATCGGATCCATACCACGTAGCTGAGATAAGGGGGAGGGAGACGAGGAGGTGAGGGGGGGGGGGGGGGGGGGGGGGGGGAGAGGGCATCTGCGTGGGACGTCCTACCCGCTCCTGGACCCTGTCCGAGCACGATACATCTCCCAGGAAAGGCTTAATCGTTCCGGATAACTCTTGCCTCGTCAGCTCCCCCCGACCGCTATTGACGCTACATGTATATTATTGGAGATGTGATTCGTAAGCCTAGTGTGGGATATAATACGCCTCCTATCGGTCTGAGCCGCCCCCCTACCCCGGCCATGGCTCACGCCGGCGGAGATGAGTGTGCCGGTAGCTGTGACGATACGGTCTGGGCCTATCGTCTAGTACGGTGCGATTTAGCATTGACATGTACCGTCTTCACATTGCCACTACTGCTGGTCTCGCCTAAGTCACAAAGCATTCTCGCCTCCCGCTTCCGTGCGCTGGCTAGCCCTCCCACATAAACTCTTGCCGCATGCCGGGAATCAGTTTCCGCAATGCCATCCCGTAGTCTCCGGCGTTGGGTGTCCGTAGAAGAGTGTGGATGTGGAACTTGGCCGGCTCCTTGTTCGTCAGGAACACCCCGGAGTGGTGGTCGAACTCGACGATGACGACCGGACTCTGGATACGGTAATAGAAGGCGTCCGCCTCCCCGAACCCGCCGATCCAGCAGAAATAGGTCTCGCGGAACCAGGCCCGACACTCCGCGAGCCGGATGCTCCGGGCCCTGTCGGGCAGGTACAGCAGGTACTCCGCCAGGATGTCGGTGACCGCAGCCTGGCTCTCCGGAGGCATCTCGGAGACGCACACGCCCTCGTACGGGACCACGCGATTATCCCGGTACGCCCCGCACAGATGTCGCTGGTCGTCGTGGTTCCAACGTCCGTGCGGCATGGCCGGATCCTTCATCTCCTCAAAGACCCGAGCCCGGGATCGGAGGGCAGGAGGCAGGCCCTGCATGAGCCGCAGTCCGCCGATCTCCTCCCGCTCCAGGATCCTCGTCCCGGCGTAGCCGCCGTCGTCGATCAGGTTCGGCTCAGCGCCGGTGAACCAGGGGGAGAGCACCATCTGCCTCCTGTAGAAGAATGCGTTGAGGCACAGGTGGTGCCCGTAGAAGGAGAAGCCCCACGGCTCCGTGGTGGAGGGCCGGCTTCCGAACAGGACGAAGTTGTACGAGAACTCGTTCATGACGGCCGGCGCCTCGACCAGGTGGCCGAGGAAGCCGTTGATGCGCATGGCCGACACTGCCTTGCCGTAGCCCTCGGGGGAGAGCGTGGCCTCGAGCACGGCCAGGACCGCGGTCCGCAGCTCTTGGGTGATCTCGTCCAGCCTGACGCCCTTGCTGCTGAGGAGGAACTCTGGGTTGGACCACGTGCGCCACTCCGGGGAGTCGATGTGGTAGATCGTCTGCGCCCTCTGTTCCGGGCTCATCCTCGACAAGGCAGCGTCGGCCGCGCTGACGATGTCTTCGATGGGGATGCCGTGGTCCTCCAGCTGGAAGAGATCCGGCCGAACGCGACCTGGGGGCGACGTTTGGGACAGTTCAGTCATGTGCACCCGTCGAGCTCCGTGCTGCTGCTGCTGCTGCTGGGAGGAAGCGACGTACCGTCGGAAGTCACGCCTTTGAACGGTTCGGAGAGCAGCTCTCGCCAATGGAGATACAAGGCGTGAAGCCACGGAGGCTTCCCACCCTGCTTGAAGTCCCTGGCATACTCGTGGGCATCCTGCGCCTTCATGGTAGTGAACCTGTCAGTGCTCAGGTCGGGAAGATGGGCCCTGAACGGGGAGGGTGCGGAGCTCGAAGACGCCATGGTCGGTCAGTCGGGTAGATGACAGGAGGTACGTCTGAAGCTTTGAGCTTTGGGGTCAAAAGTGTCTCAATCGTCAATATACGATGGCATTTTGGTCTCGAGGAGCACAGATGGCCGCTTATATCTGACAGGAATTGTCTTATACCAATCCCTCAATTCATCATGCCACATTCTCTTCCTGACCTTGCACGTGGGAGCTCTGGTACGGGTTCTCTGGGGACGAGATGCACGGGCGGATCATCCAGTTCCCATTGGATCATCAGCTCCCACATCGTCGCGAAACGCCATCAGCTCGATCGTCCACGATCCGATTGGACAAGATGAAAGACAGGAGTGAGAGAGAAGCAACGTGTGCATCGGTCTCGGTGCTCATATGAGCTCTCTCTCTGCGGCCCGTGAATCAATTTCAGTAAAGGAAAAAAAAAAAAAACCAGAAAAAAAAGGAGCAAAGAAAAAAAAAAACCCCCCCATCAACAACAAGAGCTGCTTCGTTCGGGAGACCTACCCCTTCGAATCAATCCCAGTAACACATCGACAGCAGAAGAAACCATGGCAGCACAGCAGTTCAGGCGTAAGCCTCACCTCCTCACCTCCTCACCTTCCCTCCTCTCCTCCCTTCCGATCGAAGCTGACCGTCTTATCCCACCCCTAGGCCTCGTGCGGTTCATCCCGACATCCGACCTGAGCAAGAGGCTCATCGGACAACCCTCGCTGGATGATATCGACGTGGGTCTTGCTCTGTTCAACGGCACCGAGGTAGCCGTCGACGTCTTTTCCGGCACGTCCGTCCTCAGACCAGGTGTCAAGACTGGGGTCACGGAGACTGTCGAGCGGCTCCTGTCGCCCCTCGATCCCGGCGAAGTAGGGACGATCCGGTGCATCGGTCTCAACGTGAGCTCCTCCTCCTCTTCCGCCGATTGTGGAATCGTGCGGGATGACGCATCTCTCGTGCTGACATCGCGATCCCCTCATCCCAGTACAAGAACCACGCCAAGGAGGTGGGACTAGACCTACCTACCGTCCCTACCGTCTTCCTGTAAACATCAGCCCACGTCCCGTCTGATCTGCCCCGCGCTGAGCTGACAAGGAACCGTCTTCTCTCGATTGTAGGAAGCCGAGCAATTCTCTGGGTGGTCCGTGGCCGGAGCCGACGGTGCTGCCTAAGCTGTCTCAGCTGGATGACTGCGGGGACTACGAGTCTGAACTTGCCGTCGTCATCGGAAAGGACGCCAAGAATGTGCCCGAATCGGAGGCCATGGACTACGTGCTGGGATACACGGCCTGCAACGACATCTCGAGCCGGTCACCCCAGTTTGGCCAGTCGCAGTGGTGCTTTTCAAAGGGATTCGATGGTTCTTGCCCGATAGGTAATGGCTGCGATGCCCTTTCTGGAGAGGCCCTTTCTGGAGAGGCCCTTTATGGGGAGGCCCTTTCTGGGGGAAAACAGCTGATACGTGATTGACTGATTCTGACCTCGTCACCAGGGCCTACGCTCGTCTCGCCCTCTCTCATCCCCGACCCTTCCCGCTTGAGGATACGCGGTCTCAAGAATGATGAGGTGATGCAGGATGGCGGATTGGAGTAAGACACACGTACCCTTCCCTGGTCGATTCGCCGCCGTGAGGGCGAACATGCTGACGTTGTTGAAAAAAAAAAAATAGCGATCTTATATTCAGCATCCCCAGCATCATCAGCTTCCTATCCCAGAGTACCACGCTGCCTGCCGGTACCGTAATCATCACCGGCACTCCTGCGGGAGTTGGATTTGGCAAGTCGCCGAGAGTCACTCTGCGACACGACGATGTATTCAAGGTTGAGATTACGCCTTATATCGGAACGCTCGTCAACAAGATGCAGAATGAGTAGTCGGAGCTTGCCATTCTTCTTCTTCTTATTCTTACTTTCCATCTCCCCCCCCTAATGAATTCTTGGCTGCCATGGTGCGATCTCAACTGAACTTTCAAGAGCATGATGCTGTCTTCACGGGTATGTAGAGAGGCTCGAAGAAAACCGCGTATCGCATGTGTGTCCTGGCCGCTCGACCTGTAGATGCTGCACTGCCAAGAGCCTCCTGGAGCTTCCGTGCACCCGACGGCGTCAGGTTGCTCACTCAACCTACATTTCTCATCCACATGAGTGGACGTAAGAGGCATGACTGAAACCGGATCAGTCTCATCTCATCGTCGGCCCCATTGACGCCATACAGTAGGAATGCGGTGCCGAGGAAGAGCCGGAGATAAAATCAATCAAATCATATTCAGCATCTACTCTAGGAGTGCGGGGAGCTGCACTTTGAGGTGCTCGACGATAGCGTCGGGACCATCCTTGACTTGGAGGCCGTGCGGGATAGCGTGAGTCTTGATGCCCGGGACCAGGGACTTGGCCTTCTCCCTCATCTGGGTGCTCTCCTCGACCGTCCACATTGATGCGCAGCACTGTGTTGATGGTCAGAGATGTGTCTGTCACCTCGTAATCTCAGCAGCTCGACTCACAAGGATGTCCGGCTGAAACTTGACGACGGTCGGTTCCAATTCTTCCTTGCCTGTGGAGATGGAGGTCAGTTAGATTCTCTCATCTCTCTCGGCCGAGACATTCCATCGACTGACTTGCGCAGTTGGCAACGTGCTCAATCGTGTATTGATCTTTCAGCTCATCAACCACGCGGCCAATGAGCCTCTTGGCCCGCTCAGGCGCATTGTTGACCGTGACCAGCTTGAAAGGGCCCTTCGGACTTGCGGATGCCATTTTGTTTTTGAAGGTATAATATACGTAAGCAAGTATGTGTATGTAAGTATATGCTATATGTGCTGCATATGTCTGCGTATATTGTGTGTGTGCGTGTGTGTGTGTGTGTGTATCGTGGGTGGCTCGTTGGTAGAGTACATGAAAGATGATGTCTCTCTCATCCGTTCCCACATTGAAGGAAGAGGTCTGATCCTACTTAAGGTCACAAAGCACTGGGATATGAATTCAGCCGGTGCTCATCGTCTCCATCTGAGCCTCATAACCCCGGGATATAGCACCACCCAGACACCCAGACAGAAGGGAGGGGGGGAGAGGATTGCGTTACGAGCGGGAAACCTCTGTCCGATTGGTGCATCGAGAGTCGTCACTCCCGGGATGGAGTTTCCACTCTGCTGACGGTGGCTCTTCCTCGTCGGGTGAGGAACGTCCAGGGTACGGACGTCCATGGATGCATGTCCTGTTATAATACTGATAGGGAACCGTGTGAATAGAGAGGTCTCGGTCTTTTCTTGCCATCTATCTCCAAAGCCGAGAACTCGGTCGGTCATTGACTATTTCTTCAATTGATAATCCCCCCCCCCCCAAGAAAAAACACATACGCATATGCACATCTTCAACATGAGTTTCACCTGGCCACTTACACCCTCTGCCGTGGGATCGTATCTACTAGGTCTAGCCGCCATGGCTGTTAAGAGGCCCCAGAAGATATCCGACAGTCCAAAGGACCTACCGGTTGCTATCATCGGAGCAGGTATGGGCGGACTTGCAAGTGCCTTGACACTCGCCAGGAAGGGTTTCAAGGATATCCAGGTGTTCGAAACTGCTTCCAGCTTGGGCTTCGTCGGGGCCGGGATTCAGATGGCTCCCAACCTCGTCCGGATCCTGACCCGGCTCGGTTGCTGGGACGAGATCGGAGCAGAGGCAACCGACGTCTTGGAAACGAGCGTCAGAGGTATGTTAGCCGTCCTCCATTTCTAGGGACAATGTGTGCTATGTGATGCAAATCTTCAAGATGGTCCCCCCCCCCCCTTTTCAAATAATGATTTCACAGCTGACACGAGAGAGCAGAGGGATCTTCTAATGAAGAGCTGGCCCATGTGAACATGCCAGACATACGGAAGATGTACGGATACCCGCACTGCACCGGACACCGGGCCACCCTCGCCGGCGGTCTCTACAAGGCCTGCCAGCAAGAGCCGGCCATCACCTTCAGGTTCGGCCACAGCCTCGAGAGCGTCGACTCGTTCGCACCGCAGCCGACCCTGACGGTGAAGCCGCGCGACGGCGAGGCCTACCAGGTCAAGGTCGGCATCCTCATTGGAGCCGACGGGGTCAAGTCCGTGACCCGGACCCACCTCCTCGGCCAGGCCGGCCTGGAGGCAGCCGTCGAGGACACGGGACAGGCAGCCTACCGCGTCCTCCTCCCCCGCGAGGCCATGCGGTCCGACCCGGAGATGATGGCGCTGCTCGACAGCAGCCAGGTGACGCGGTGGATCGGCGAGAAGCGCCACTGGATCTGCTACCCCATCGCATCCAGGACCATCTACAACATGTCCTCCATCCAGCCCGACGACAACTTCGCCTCGGCCCCCTCGACCACCTACACCACCAAGGGATCCAAGAAGGCCATGCTCGACGCCTTCTCCGACTTCTGCCCCGTCGTCCAGCGGATGCTGAACCTGGTCCCGGACGGGGAGGTGTGCGAGTGGAAGCTGAGGGTCCACAAGGCCCTCCCGACCTGGGTCCACGGCTCCGCCACCCTCGTAGGCGACGCCTGCCACCCGACCCTGCCCCACCTCAACCAGGGCGCCGCCCTCGCCATCGAAGACGCCGCCGTCCTGGCAGAGGTGCTGTCTCGCGCTCCCGACGCCACGCCCGAGGCTGTCAACAGGTCCCTGCAGGTCTACGAGCTTCTCCGGAAGGAGCGCACCACCACGCTCGTCGACCTGGCCGCCCTCTCCGGACGCACCCTCCATCTGGGCGCCGGCGCCGCCAAGGAGGAGCGCGACAGGCAGTTTGCCGAGGCCAAGGCGAATGGCGGGGGCAAGGTGCCCGATAAGTGGGCATCCCCGGAGGTCCAGAGGATGATCTATTCCCACGACTGCATGGACGTTGCGGCGGAGCAGTTTGGCAAGCTGTACCAGAGCCTGAGTTAGTCCTGCTGTCCATGCCGATTGAACGTGCGGTTATGATTTCCATGTCTAAGGTGTTCTTGTCTACTAGGCTATCAAGTTCCGACGGCCAAGCTTTGAATTCAATATTTTTCTTCTTCGTTTTCTTCGTTGTTTTTTTTTTTCGGTGGGGGTTTTTCTTCTTTTTTTCTCTGCTGGGAATCGTTCGTTCGGACGACTTATCGAGCCGGTCTGTCTCATCTTCACGATACTATGCTCCTGCTGTAAAAGTAATACACTATATCAACCCGGTCGCATCGAAATCAGTGATGCCTAGGTCCAGGTCGAGCCAATCCACGTTTCCGGACGTCGGGAAGTTACTCATGTCGCTCAGCACACCGGCCATGGAACCCTGGTCAAGGATCGTGCTCTCCGCCTGATTGTTCAGCGCATTGTGATTCACGTCAAGTGACGTTGGCTGGAACTGCTCCATGCCATCTCTCGGTGACGGTCCCGGTCCGTGGAACTCCGCGTGATACGACGATACTAGGGCGAGGGAGGTTTCTGGTTAGTCTCAGGAGCATCGGACAGCCGATCTCTCGGCCCCGGGCTTAGAATATACCGAGTTCAAAACGTACAGCCGGGTTTTAAGACGTCAAGGTGGCGCTGCAAGCAACGGTGGGCCTTGACGCTCATCGCACTGGTTGCGCCTATCGCGCGCAGCATGTCCAGACAGGTCCGTAGGCGACTTTCAAGGTCGGAGCTGCTCTGCCCGTTGGCCATGAATGCCGCCTCGGAATAATTCGATGACAGCCAGAATGCAAAGGTGTGGAGAGAGATGGTGAGTGCTGGCGATGGGTCAGCACCGGGAGGGGAGAGAGGGAGGAGAGAGGGAGAGAGGAAGACGGGTTGGGCAGCACGTGTTCGCATACCGGCATAGTTGCAGGTCCACCACACCGAATTGCGCTTCAGGAACGATGGGTTGTGTTCCAAGATGCCGCATATCAGATGGCGGAAAGCGTTGGCCGCCCTCATGTCGTCGTTCAACAAGCAAGCGGCGGAGTACGCGAGTACATGGGGCACAGGACCCTGGGCCTTGTTCGTGCATTCCTCGAGAATGGTCATCAGCAGAGGGCCGTGAATCAGCAGCGCTGTTCGGTAGTAGAATATCGTCGTCAGTATCGAGTTCCTCTGCGCTTCAAAATCACCGGCCGACCATCTGCTGAAGTTCACGTGCGGAGAGACGAGAGACGAGGGCGATACTTGGCGGCGCCATCTCTCTAGCCGGACAGAGAGCTGCAGCGTCTTTCCCACCAAGTCGTCCACCGGCAGCCGGCCCGAAGGGTCGATGTTGGAGCTGCAGACAGACTCGACAACGGACCCCATGATTTCGTGCAGGGTGCTTTGGTAGGCTGGTCAGCTGTGCTGCTTGGTAGACGGATGGAGAGGGCTGGGGCTGTTTACGTACACGATGTTGCGGAAATACTCCATATTCTCTTTTGAATACTGCATCTCCACTGTCCTCTGCTGGCGCATGGAGATCAGAATGTCCAATATCTCATGCCGAACGTGCGCAGACGGTATGAGACACGGCTGGCCGAGAGCTGTGCTGATCATCCTGCGTGCTCCAACGTTAGGATCGGGCGTGAAGAAGGGAAGAGGAAAAGTTGACGTGTCCCGCGAAGAGGTAGTGAATACCTGTCTTGGTTGATGACGGAGAACCAGAGACTGGATCGAAGCTCCTTCTCGGCGACTGCCAAATTCTCGTATGAAGAGGGCGCGTGGACACCGAGCTGGTACGACGCCTTGACGGCGAGTGAGTGGGTCGTCCAGCTCTCAGTCGATCTCTGGCTGTTCTGCTGGAAGATGCTGAGGAGCAGCAGCGCGCGAACTAGCGTTTGGAAACGGAGTCAGCATGCATCGACTGCCGAGGGCTGAAGGAAACGTAAGCGCCGACATACGCAGTTCAAGACTAGGCGCATAGAGCGTCCTCGGATCGAGTAAGCTCAGCGTCTGCCGGTAATACGGCTCGGCAGCACTGGCATCCCGGGTAGAGACGGCATGCGCGAACACGATGCTCAGCAGGCCCTTGGCCGCGCGCGTGTTTGGTGACCTGAACGCCGCAGCGGGTTCCTGAGTCTTGTCAAAGATTTCCAGTATGGCCGGCTGACTGATGTACGGAATAGTGGCCCCGATGGTGTCGGAGAAGAGAGAGATCAGGCCGACAGCCTCGTCGGGCTGGGGCATGATGGTGTCGTCGTGGCTGTAGCGGCCGTAGTGCGCCGTCGACGACGATGCCGGGTGCGGTAGACGGGCGGGGCCCGTGCTGGACTGGACGGCCCTCAACGGCTCCTGATGCAGACGGCTGCTGCGCAGACCGAGGTTGGAGATGCTGGCTGTGAGTGACCAGAACAGTGCGTGATTGGAGCTCGATCCTGAGACGGTCTAGGTGAGCACGGGAGCCTTCAAGGCATGACCAGATCTCTGGCGGTGGTGGCTCCTACCGAAATAGCACATGGTGCTCCCGGACGAGGGATGGTCGAAGACACCGGCCGCTAATACGTCTATGCGGGAGTCGGTCTTGTCCGAATTCTCAGCGGCAGCAGCAGCAGCAGCGGCGGCGGCGGCGGCGGCGGAGGAGGAGGCTGCGGCAGAGGCATTGGAAGTAGGACCCTGTGCACGTGGGCTCTGGGTGGAGGGCCTCTCGGACGGATGGGGAGAGACCTCGGCGCTTCTTATGGGGGTGCTTGCTCGGTCCATGCCAGCGGACGCAGCAGCAAGTTGGGCTTCCAACTCACCAACCCTCCTCTGAAGCTCAGCGTTGGCCCTGCATCGCGGCCCGGTGTGAGCCCAAGTTGACACGCGTACACGCAAAGAGTAGGTGGGAGGGATTCGGAGACTTGTCCATACCGGCGCTCGACCTGCCGACTGAGGCGCTTATCGTGAGGGTTACTTGAGAATGTACATTCAAGTTCAAATCGCGAGCAGCGATCACAGGGCGCACCCGAGCCTTCACACTGGATTCGCACGATCAACATGCGTCAATCTCTACAATCGACCTAGGACAGAAGGAATGGTAGATATGACGAAGAGGAGAAAGATAGAAGAAAAAGAAAAAAAGAAAAAAACTCACCTTTGACTTGGTCTGCTTGCATGCATCGCAAGCTGCAAAGGCCCTTGCCCGCCTGGGCAGTGGACGACTGTTGACGGACATGACGATCAACAGCACGGCCAAGGAAGCAAGGCCTTGCGCTGTGATGATCTAGAGAGAGAGAGAGGGAAAGAGAGAGGGAGGGAGAGAAAGAAAGAGAGAGAAAGGAGGAGAGGGGGGGTTGGGGTTACTCCGAGTTAATGACGATCATTGAGGTCGTGATTGAGAGACAGTTATTGAGAGACGAGACAAAGACCCACACATCCCGTAGCCTTACATAAAGCCAAAAGTAGCAACTTCATGCATATGCCGTGGCTTTTGAACTATTATATCGATCAATTTCTCGACGGGATCGTGGTTCGGTTGAACAATTTATTTTTCATCGCCTAACGGGGTTGGAATCCGTCGCATCTCCAAACCGAAACTTCGTATATCCTTGTAAACGCTTAATGTTCCGGCTAAAGAGATCAACGGGACGATGAGGTGCATGGTGGCTTAGATGTATCACAGACGCGTCATTCAATTGGTGCAATCAACTTTCGATAGATAGATATCTCTTTAACGGAGTCATGACGAGTCACATAATAATACCATTGCTAGAGCGAACATGAGTAAATGTCGCTGCCAAGGATCTCCTCCCAAGAGGCGGCCAAGGTCTGACCCTAGTATTTTTTTTTTGGCGGATGGGCGTTCACGCGGGTCATAATAATGTGGAGGCACGTTGAAGATAGCCATCTTAATAAAGATATATTATATATAGTATGCTCCGAGGTCGCCCCATATCCCCTGGCCTGTGGGGAAATGTAAAAAAAAAAAAGAAAAAAAAAAAAGAGGTAATACTAATTCTAGGAGACGTGAAGAGTCATCTGATTGTTTGATTCGATGACCCATCATTGCCGATCTTAGGCGTTCATTCAATCAAGTATTAATACGCAGCAAATAGGATTTCTCCTGTTTTACCAATCCAGACCTCCAAGACAATGAATGACCTGGTATGGTAAAACGCCTCATCCTGCCCCATTCATCTTCTCCAGAGCTGTTATGAATGATCATGTAGGCTGTTCATTTCGTTTCCCACTCGTCGCTGCCGTCATAACCCATCCTGTTGGATGATTCTGCCGCAATCGAGAGAGAAGAGATGCTGTGCATTGCTATTGTCCTGCTGAATTGCGTGCCGAATGGCCTGCTGGAGGAGCCGCTTTCTCCTCGTCGGCGAGGCAGCCTCTTCTTCCCCGTCAGAGCCCACGAGCCGCCTCCGCTTGTTGTGCGAGATTGCACTGGGGGTATCTCGACTCTTGGCTGGTAGGATCACAGCACGGTCAAAGTCGACTATATTGATCTTTCCGTCGGGGCCTTGCAGCACGTTTGGCCATCGAACGTCACCGTGAGCCACCCCGAGGCTGTGCATCTGATCGAGGATGGAGGTGACCGTGCTGATGATGCGGGCCCTGGATTCGTCCCCGCGTGCCTCAACCTCGATGCCGCCGTAGGACAGGAAGATGAAGCGTATGATGCGCACGTCGAGATCGTAAAAGTATACCTGACCTAGTGGCTTGAGATCGACGGAACCGAGGCACACCGGAATGCCATGTCCTTGTAGAGGCTGCAGTTTCTGGTACGCGGCTACCTCCTTCTCTAGCTCGGGCACGCGTCCCCCAGTGACACCCTTGGCTATGAAGGTGTAGCCATACCGCAGCAGCGTTATCTGGAATAAGGCACCGCAGCCACCCTCTTTCCCTAGAACCCTGACGCCCTTGTCTAGGCTCTGAGATAGCTGCTGCCTTAGTAGGTCCATAAACTGCGAATGCGACACGGCATGCCTAGGTTCGGCCTGCGTTGTATCGCGGTGCAACACCGCATTGGGGCATTCGTTATCCAGAAGTCGGCCACCCACGAGCGACAGGAGACATGTCGACGTGCAGTACTCCCTGGGCTTCTCCTGTCCATCGCCGACGCCGCCGGGTGCTGGTCGTGATGAGGACCCGATAGTGGCACTTCCCTGGGAACCACCGGCAGTCTCGCCTGAGCCACCGCCACTACCACCACTATCGCCACTATCACCACCAGAAGTGCCCCCGCTAGAACCCCCCTCGCCGGAGCCTGCTCCTCCAGGACCGTCGCGTCTGTGAGATCGAAGTACCCGGTCTGACACCTCGCGTGGGGGCTGCTGCCTCGGGTCTCGCCTGATCCTCTTGATCGTTCTCGGCACCCAACCAGGGCTGCTCGGCGTACGGTAGCGCTTCTTTCCTCTAGTGGGGTCGGCCGCGGCCTCCCTCTCCTCCTCCTTGATGATTTTGTCCAGAGTACAGCCAAAATCAACCTCCCATTTTCGACATTTGTCCGTTGCCGCTAGCCGTTCATCATTATTGTGCTGTGACGATTGGAGGGCAAGCACGGTAAATGCAAGAACTTGGCAGAGAGAGTTGCTATAAGCCGCATCTTCGTTCACAATAACCTCACGTAACGGCTGCGCTAGATGGTAGTAGAGGATCGCTGGGTCGGCCCAGTTAATCTTTAGAAAGACGATTGCGTCGCCGTTGGTCAGGTACCCGTATTCTAACCCAGCCTCTAGCATATAGTGATATGTCTGCGTGATCGCCGCTGCTGAGAGAATTTCCGCGTAGTGCTTGAACTTGTCAGCCGTCGGTATCGTGATCCTGTTGACAACCTCGTCGAAGATGTCCATCCGTCGGAGGCCCTGCTCGAGGTGCGACGTATGGAGTTTGTGAGGTGCTTTGTATTCGATGACGTATGCAATGTCCCTCTGAGTTGAGTTTCGGAATACGCAGATCTGGTCCGTCCGTAGCTTTGCGTCTCGCTTTACAGTGTCCCTCTTATCTTCCGAGTCACGAAGATTATTCGCGGATGTCTGGAAATTGATCTCTTCAGGAATGATGAGGTTATGCTTGTCAAGTTGAAACGCGTTGATCTTAGACAAGATGATCCGCACAGGAACTTCGATAGTATTGTGCTGAGCGTGAACAAGAGAAGTTTCGCCGCGTATCACCCCATCCATGCGATCGCCCATAGCCTGGAGAAAACTCAAGCTCTCGAAAAGTTGCCGGTCGCGAGGAAAAATGCGGTCTATGAGCTGGATTGTGTCGGTTTGTATCGAGATAAAGTCATCCCAAGGCGTAAGAAGAGTTGGGCAGTGCTTTCTAGCAGGGTTGGTAGTAGGAGCTGTGGTAGTGAGGTAGCCATCGGTGGAGAGACGGACTTTAGACAAGACATATTCCTGGCTGGCTGCTAAGTATTCATGAAGTGTTGTGTTTCGGAGGAAACCCTGTGCCTGTTCCTTTTCACGTCGCTCACGCTCCCTTTCGCGGCGCTCATGCTCCTTTTCACGTCGCTCACGCTCCCTTTCGCGGCGCTCATGCTCCTTTTCACGTTGCTCACGCTCCCTTTCGCGGCGCTCATTCGCATATGCCTGCTCAACTTGCTTGAGCCTTTGCCGAAGGTCTTCTTCTGTAGACATTGTGCAAAAATAGAACGGTTAGGCATTGAGGTAGCGGTAAGCATGAGGGGATGAAGATGCAGTTTTGACATTGTTGAGGTCATGATATCGTGAGATCTAATGACACAAATCTGATAGTAGCAAGTCCGAATGACCACATCCAATGCGGTCACATGACCATATATATTGTTAGAATAAGCAGCTGTGTCATCATCCGGAACAGGTTGTTCCGACCCCAACAGCGACCACGACCGATGAAAGGCCACGTTTACAGTCAGTTTTTACCTATGTAATCTATCATCAACAACATCAAAATGGCACTCAACTAACCCAAATTCCTACACATATAATTGTGACCTGCTTGGTATAATCATCCAAYCARATCYAYYGGATWATTCCCCTKCCGATCYGGTAACTCAGACGAGCATTTYSC